TTAAGAAAGACTTCTATAAGAAATTCCTCTATGAACCATTCCCCGTTGAATCCAGGTAAATAAAAAAAATAAAATACAACAGCACTTTGAGATGATGAGGAGAGTGAAGAGGACGATGAGAGGATGGCCACTTTTACATGATGTTTTTTAATTTGAATTAATTGTTCTGAATTAAATAGTTTGGAATTCAAATATTCTTCTTCGAGGTTACATGGAAATAATAATTCCAAATTGAGGTTTACATGGAAAACACGTTAAATCGGCTTTATTTAATTCAACGTCTTCGGTTGGGGAGGGGTTCTGATTGGACAGACACACGAACGTATTTACGTCGTGCGGAAGAAAACACATTCTTCAGCTGCTACCGGCTTTTCCGTCATCTCGGTTTGTCGTTACGCCACGGACACAAACACGATCCAAACTTTTTCCGCGGTCGTTCCGATGATAATTGCGCAGCAGCTGGAGAATTCTCTCATCACGCTTTACGTCTGTCGGCTGAGGAGGAGAAGGGAAGAGTGTCAGAGAAGAGAGGAAGAAGACAAACTGAGTCGGCGGCTGCTCTACCTCAGCCCACTCCCACATCCCGCTCGCAAATCCAAAGAGACGTGGATGAAAGTCCGAAGCCAGGACTGGTGGAGCCAGATCGATGGGCGACCCAACGAGCATGCACTGAATTTTTAAGAAGAATAAACGTTAACATGATCGAGGAATACATTTATTTGGCTTTAAAATCGGAATAAAACACCCACTTATTCGGATAACCATTTTCATTAGGAATTAAAGTGTTCGCATGGTCTTTTTAAAGCGGAATTCTTTTTTATTCAGGACTAAATTACTTTTATTTGGAATTAAAGCTCTCATGTAAATGTGCCAAATGAAGAGGATGAAGGGGAAGATGAGAGGATGAGGAGAGTAAAGGCGACGATAAGACAATGAAGGAAGTAAAGTGGACGATGAGAGGATGAGAAGATGACGTTTGCTGGGGAGGAGGTGGGGAGTGAAATTAACTAAAGCAGCGATGCACCTGCAAAAGGGGTTTAAATTGGGCAGAAAGGATGAAGAGGAAGGTGCAGAAACCAGCAAGGAGGAGTATTTGGAGTGAGGTGATGAAGCCTGAGGAGCAGGTAAACTCTGGAGAGCCAGCGAGGTTCACTGGAGCAGAGACAGTTCTTCCAGGCTGAATTTACTCAAGCTCCATTTCTCACCCCCAAAATGACCAACAGGTTCTTAAATTCTTCTCTAATCTTCGTTCTCTTGTGTTGCGTAGCCTCCTCAGCGTGCTCTCAGACCATCTAAACGCCGAAATCGCTGCAGGGACCATCTCCTCCAAGCAGGACGCCATGGACTACATCACCTGGACGTACTTCTTCAGGCGGCTGGTCATGAACCCCAGGTAACACACACTCGTACCGGGCAGAGACACGTGTGGGTTAGACTACGAGTAGAAAGGTGAAAAAGGGGAAGAGTGGACGAGGAGGAAGAGAAAGATGGAGCAAAGTCAGAGCGAGAGAAGCAGAGAGATGAAGAGAGTTAGAGGAAGAAAGCTGAGAGAGATTAGAAAAGAGTAAATGGTTAAGAAGAATTAGAAGGAGGCAGAAGGGGATGGTAAAGAGGTAGATGGAGAAGAAAGAGGAGAGGGGAGGGGTGAGAGAGAAGAAAGAGAAGTGTTAGAACATCTGGAGAGAGACAGAGACCAGAGCGATCCAGCTGTGAGGCATTTACACGGCTGTCAGAGGCGTTCAGTCCCACACTGAGAAACTCGCCGTACAACTGTGGAAGGGCATCAGATCACATCAGATCCACTGTGAATGTAAAAAATGTCTTCTGAATGTTTTAGTTTTTTTTTTTTTTTAGTTTAAGAAAAAAATAGCTTTATACAGTGGAATGGTACGCAAATTTTGACAAAATAGCTACTTTGAGCGTTCTTCACATGTTATCATATTACATTGCTTCATGGGTCTTCTTCCTTGTACATTTCACCATTGTTCCTTGACCCCATTTCCATATGATGGTTTGGATCTTGGTTCAATTTGTCACACTGATTTCTTTTTCCTGTTGTGGTGTTAATTTCAGAGGGAAGCAGAAAAATTGCCAATGTAAGGGTCTGTTTACACGAGAACGTTTGCGGGTAAAAACAACAAAATATTTTATTCGAAGTGCCTTTTGTTTATACGGTTATGGTGTTTTTGGGGCTTAAAACGCAAAAATCTGAAACCACCCTCCAGAGTGGAAAAGTTGAATAGGCTCCGCCGTAGTGTTTCCGTCTACATGTTCTGTCGCGTACATGTTCATGTCACATACTTCACCACCGAGCCGCCTGGCATGCATACCCAATCGAATTCTACACACCGTGTCACCGTATGCACACAGATTTCCTCCCGAAAACGCTCGTCTAAGACGCAACGCCACTTTTGCGTCTTCTGTTCAGACCGTCATCATATAAATGTAGCCTAATTCTGTGTATGGATGGTTCAAAACACAATTTTATATCTTTAAGGTAAACGCTTTTCAAACTGATGCCCATAATAGTCTATGATTAATCCCATAATTCCAGTGATCTGGTCACTAATTGGGTTTCACATGACGTCACAACATTAAAAAATGCTTGAATGTATTTTCCGTATTTTCGGGACTATAAGTCGCACGTTTTGGGGAAATTTATTTTATAAAATCAGAGACCAGGAACTGACATTTCATCTTGAAAGTCAAGTTCTAGTAGTAACAACAGAACAGAGAACAACAGGCTGAACAGGCATTAATATGTTAACGTAACATATTAACAGTGATTCAGATCAGATCTTCATCCTCAGTGTCACTTCTGTGTGGTCTCTGGAGATAAAACATAAATCCATGATGTAAACGGAGCGTTGTTTCCTCTTCTGTGTCGCTGTCGTCAGACTCAGCATCAGTTCCAGTTACAATTATTCCGGCCTTTCTGAATCCCAACAGGATGGTTTCTGTGTCACTGAAGTTCAGGCTTTGTCGATTCAACCAGCGACTTCCAGGAAAGTTACATGGTGCATCCTCCTTGTTGCCGTGAAGCTGTGTTCTCCATCCCCGCTTTCCGCCAGTCCCTCACAAGTTTCTCGCTCACTCCAAACTTTCTTTCTGCTGCTCGAGTACCGTTTTCGGCTCCATATTTCACTATTTGCAGCAAGACAGCGGCTTTGTTCTACAGGAGACATGCGCAGTAGAGCGAAGTGACAATGGCACAGGAGTAATAGTCGTACTAGACACTGACAATAGTCTAGACTAGAGCCTCTCGTGGCTGTCAGTCTGAAAATTTTAATATGTAAGACGCAGGAAACACTCAAACCATGAAAAAAGTGTGACTTATAGTCCAAAAAATACAGTAAAAATTCTGATTGTTGTTGTAATACAGTGAGTTCTTGGGTCTAGTCTATAATTAAAATCATCAGGTTCAGCGTTTGTATTTTATTGTGTATTTTAGAAATGTCACGGCTCACATTCTATAATTTGTAAAAACATCAATAGAAATTACCAGGTGCGAATGTTTTTTTTATAATATATATACATAATTTAAATCTCTCATCCTCCCCATATACAGATGTTGTGTTTTCTGTGTCCCCGTGCAGCTCTGGTTTGTATTGTTGGAGCTCATTTATCTGCTCTACTCCTCCTCCTCTCCCTCCCTCTGCTTTCACATTCAGACACACACCGAGTCCCCGGGGCCCTATAACTGTCTGCAGCACCATCAGGGGCCAAACGAGCCTGTGATAATGACCACGGCTTCATCACACCGCAAACGCTCGTCCAAATGCGCTAAATATGTTCAGCTCGCTTCTGTTAACGTGGGTGGTGTTCAATAAAAATGAATTATGGCTTCAAACGTCTGTCTCCGTGCTGGGATCGCAGGGTTTTTCCGATTTGAATAATTTTGTTCATATGATTCTAACAGACAGTCGCTCAGAAGTAGGTTTGCGATTGATCCCCAAACAAAAAAATATGGAAAATCAGATACTAATTGACTAAACTAGATACTAGAAACTATATTTAAAGGTGCATTGTGTAACTTTTCTCGTGGAGGGTTCGTCAAATGTAGATCAGATCTGTGGAGAGGCATCCGCTCACAGTCAGAGTTTCTGTTTTTCGAGGTGTTTTTGAGCCATAAAACCACCTGTAACTGAATAAACGTAAGGCCGAGCTGTCTAATGTCATACTCTGGAACATTCCAAGCAGAACAATGACATCTCCATAGAAACAAGAAGGTGACAGACCCACAACCAACCAGAAAGTTACACAGTGCACCTTTAAAAGCAAATATCAGTATTGAAAGAAATCCCCTAATTGGATCAGATTTGACGTTTCTGGAACAGTTTCATCTTGAGTTTTTTTCAGAAATAGTGTAAAATCACATGGTTGAAAATCACAATATTGACTAAAAAGAGCTTTTAAATTCAATCCAATCCACTTCATTTCTATAGCATATTTCACAAACAGTTTCCAAAGTGCAGCACAAATACGTAACAATAATAAAATGATCAAAGAAGTGCTCAGATTTAATCATACTAGTCCTACAATAACAAAACCAGTAAAACAAAACAAGAGCAAAATCATAGAATAGCAGCAAACAAATAAAGACAATAAAGTACATTAAAAATAAATAAAATAAATAAAAGACACGGAGGACCACACAACTCACGAGGTGTTTAAAGCCAGAGAATAAAAAGACGAGAAAAGATGGAGACTTAAATCTAAAACTAAATCTGGATGAGGTCTGAGACGCACTGTGGGGCCAGTCCATTCAAAGCTTTTAAAACAAACAATAAAATCTTAAAATCAGTTCTAAAATTAACAGGAAGCCAGTGCAAAGACGCAAGGATTGGGATGATGGGCTCTCTTCTTTTTGTTCCTGTTAAAAGTCGCGCCGCAGAGTTTTGGACTCACTGTAGTTGATAAAGTGCGTTTTGTGAGATGCCGGAATAAAGTGTGTTACAGTCGTAAAAGCGTGCATGACATGTTGAAATAGTTCAAAAGACAGAAAAGGTTTAACTTTGAAAAACTTGATTTTAAAACACCATTGATCTGCTTGTCAAATTTAAAATCACTGTCTAAGGTGATGCCAAGGTTGGTGACTGTGCGGCGAACATAATACATAATGTACATAATTACAAAACAAATTAGCTTTGAGTCTCGAGTCGAGTCTATTCTTTATTATCTAGTTTATCTAGTTTGAAATTTTGGTGTCATGACATTATCCCAAATGTAAACGTGATCAGACACATTTACAAGGCCACAGAAAAATCTGGAATACAAGAATAATGAGATGACCCAAGAAATAGATGTTTTGTTTTTTTATTTTGTGCAAAAATAAATTTAAAGGGAGTGACATTTGTCAATTAATCTATGCCAGTCTCTAAACTTTGTGCTCCGGTGAGCTCCTTTGCAAAACAAAAATGCCAGAGAGCTGCTCATTTTAGCGGCCTCAAGAAATTTAGATGATTATAAGAACGAGGGCGAGCCTTGGGTTACAGATGTCTATAACACATGAACTATTGTCCATTTGTTCGTGCACAAAGTTGGGCTTTAAAATGATACATGAACAATGGTAACAGGCAGGTAATTAACCAATTTTTTGTTATTCAGCACAGTGGTATAATTCTGAAATCTCTCTGCGAGCTACTTGGAAGGGGATGGAGAGTTACCCGCTCATGAGATACAGGTTGGAGACCCCTGAGTTATACATTTTTAGAGTAACTCCTTTATTTAGAAATCAAGGCACAAACAATTTGTAATTAACTCTTTCAGTATTCAGCATTAATTGGGCCACATAATTAATCTTTTTTGCATAATTATCCGTGTCAAAACATGCATAGATGTGAACAATCAGAAAGAAATCTGATTATTCAAATCAGGCGCAACTCTGATGTTAAAGTTAACAACAACTAGCAAGCTAATATGCACTTCCTGATTATCAGAAAATAAAGCACATTCTAATTCGATGCACACAGCACGCAGCAGACTTATTTTGGCCTCAGCAGCTGCTTATCCGATATTTGGCAAGTAAGGATGTAACGATATCCGAGTCTCACGATACAATATCGTCACAGTATGAACCTCACGGTATGATATTTATTGCGATATCGTGGGAAAGCTCACCATACGGCGGGGAAGCTCATGGTTAGGGATGTAACAATATCTAAATCTCTCTGTACAATATTTTGACAATACACATCTCACGGTACGATATTTATTGCAATATTTTGTGGAGGCTAAAAAACTGTTAATATGCTCCTTTTTCTTCTTAAAATGCCTTGACAAGACTTAATCCGAAGAACTAAAACTTAAAAGTGCTGTTATTTCTTCTTGTAGTCTGCACTGAAATGGAGCAAAAGATCATGATCTATATAGTTCTCTCTGTCTTTTTTTTTTTAGCTATTGCTGCACCATAATTCTTAATTTAAGCAGAGAGACTTGTATGTTATTAGGTTCTTTTTACAGACCTAGAGTTTTGTTTCATACCTGACAGTTTTGACTGCTCACTCGCGGTCTTCACGTGATGTTTCTGTGACGTGTCCGATCAGCTGATTTAAACAGGTTTTGGCGCTGTCTTCCTACCGGTGGAGGCAGGACGACAGCGCCACCTGCGAAGGCGTGCACACGAGCAACAAAGCAGAACAGGAACAACTCAAATCAGCCGTTTCTGACCACTGCAAATGAGTGAACGACATTATGGACTGGGATAGAGCAAACGTCATTGGGACAGAGGAAAACAAACATCGCCGCTGGATTAAAGAGGCAATCGAAATACAGAAACGTGCCCACTGGACGATAAACCGGGACGAGGGGCTTTTTTACTCTCACACACCTGAGATACTGTCCTGAGGAAGTTGGATTGCAGGTGGCGCTGTCGTCCTGCCTCCACCGGTAGGAAGACAGCACCAAAACCTGTTTAAATCAGCTGACCAGACTCGTCACAGAAACATCACATGACTCTGAGGAAGACCACTAGTGAGCAGTCGAAACTGTCAGGTATGAAAACAAAACTCTAGGTCTGACAAAAGAACCTAATAACATAAAATATCGAAAATGAATCTCATTGGACTAAAGAGACTTGTAATTCGATATATTGTGATGGTCCTCGATATTATTGTGAGAAATTTGATGATGTGATATCACGATATTTCGGATATTGTTACATCCCTATTAGCAAGATGATTTGGTAACACTTTATAATAACTACACCTTACTTAGCCTTAATAAAGCATGAACAAAGACTTAATTAATAATGAAGAAAGATTTAATTAATAATGATTCACGCTTAGTAAATGCTTAATAAAGCATAATTCGTCTTCACTTTTGAAAAGCTCTCAAAAAGTCTTAACTAACAGATAACGGCTGCCTGAATTATCATTGCTTTGCATTATTAGTAAATCATTCTCTCATAGTTTATTAATGATTAATAAATGCTCAAATGGTTAGTCCATGAGTAATTAAGTATGAAATCATTAGGAGTAACTATTTACAGCACAGGCAAATTAAGTGCAAGTGCTAATTAAGGTAGTGATTAAGTAGTTACTAAGCATGAATCATTATTAATTAAGTCTTTGTTCATTATTAATTAAGCCTTTGTTCATGCTTTATTAAGGCTAAATAAGGTGTAGTTATTATAAAGTGTTACCGATGATTTTTGCTCAGATACATGGTAAAAAATCAGGAACACATTTACAGTGACAGGCCGGCTCTTTGAAAAATGTATTTAAAACATATTAATGTAGAACCAGTATTCCTTTTTGAGCAAACGAACGCATACAGAGTAATATATTACCCAGAGTGCATTGCCTTAAGGGTCGTCTGTGCTGTGTACCTGTTAAACAAAGCCAGGCCTGTTCTCTCCCACACACAAATATTATGAGCTAATAGAGATTATGTTTGATTACACGTGTGCACAGCAGACTCATGTGGGAACTCTTTACTCTCTCTCTCTTTCACTCTCTTTCTTTCTTCCTCCCTCTTTTTCTCTCTTACGCTCACTATCTATATCCTTTTCTTCCTTCCCCTCTCTCTCTCTCTCTGTCTCTGCTTCTCTCTCAGTGTCCGTTTTCTGAAACACTTTAAATGAAAGTTGCTTAGTGAAGGCGTTAATAAGCTCTAGTTATTGTTTCTAAGCATGCGTTAACTTTTGATTGGAATAAACCCATAAAGCGTGCATGCGGATTTGTGGGATGGACACAGTGATTTGCAAATCTAATAAAAGCGCTCTCTCTTTGAAAACTTCATAAAAGAATATCTCTTACCGTAGTGTTACAAATTACCGTATTTTCCGCACTATAGGATGTTAAAAGCCTTTAATTTAATCAAAAAACGACTGTGCATCTTATAATCAAGAGTGTCTTATATATGAATTTATTGTTGTGTCTTGATACGACTTTAGTAAACTACAAAGCCACACCACTTACAGCATTAAGGCTCCCGTAGTCAGGAGCATCGCGGAGTAATACATACTGTGATTCTTTTTAATATCAAAATGCACCTGTCAAGAGACACGCTCACAACGCCCACTTTAAACTCTGTTATAAAGTTAAACTGTGGATGAGAGAAGAAGAACACACATTCACCAAGACAGGGAGACAGCGCCGAGTGACTTGCGCCACGATCTGCCAATGGATCATGGGACGCCCGGGCTAAGGATCAGTATCAACTGTGGTCCGAGCTTTCACCAAGACCCGAATCATCACTGAACTGCCAGGGAACAGTAACCACACTGACTCGGATAATGACGAGAACCGTAATCGCCCAACTGTTTGAAAAATTATGAGTTATTGTGAATACACGAACAATTTAGTATTTTTTTTACGCGTTACAGTTACAAAGTTGAGAGTTATTGTGAACTCGTTAAATAAAGTTTGACTGACTTATCTAACTTGTGTTTCGTTTAATGCGCCTTATAGTTCGGTAAAGTTTGAAAATAGACCATTCAATGACAGTGCGCCTTATAATCCAGAGCGCCATATAGTGCGGAAAATACGGTACTGTATTTTCCAGACTATAACGCGCACTTAAAATCCTTTCACTTTCTCAAAAATCGACAGTGCGCCTTATAGTCTGAAAAATACGGTACAGCTCATCTTTCTAGATTTGACTTTTAAGAACGGCGAATAAAGGGTGTAAAATCAGTTTCCGTAAGTATTAGTATGAGCTCTCTAACCTTAAATTTGAGGTATTAACAAAGTATTGAAATATTTCATTGGTTCTATTTTAAGTCTTGATGTGAACCAGTATGACATTGGACTGTGCCTGAAGAGATCATTAAAACATTTTTTTAACATTTATTGTGCCCAGTTTCTCTACAGAGGTGCCTTATAAATTTTTTACTAAGGAACCTTGTTTTAAAGCGTTGACCCCTTTTCTTCTACCTCTGTCTTTCTCTTTATTCTTTACTTCTCTCACTTTCTTTCTTTCTTCCCTCTTTCTCCATCGCGCTCTCTCTCCTTCCCTCCTGAAAACATGGAAACCATTTTGGCCACTGGTTTGTCTTATTTCATGTAATAACGCTCTAACCTGGGAATCATTTGTGTTTAAAAAAAAAAAAAGAAAGAAAGAAAAGAGCATTTTCATCTGGTCTGTCTCTGTTTCTGCTTTATTACAGTAATAGGCGCCACACAGCAGTCACACTTCTGTACATGTAAAACAACATATCTTTCAGCTCTTCTCAGACTCTCGTAAGAATCAACGATGGGGGTAAAAACATAAATAAAAATCTTACAGAAATACGTACAAGACTAGAGCTACCGTCTCCACAAATAAACCACGACTATTGACTAAATACATGCTTTTCTTTAATATTTTCTTTAACATTATCTTTTATTTTGTACAATCATAAATGATAAACTTTTGATAACCTTTTGTGTCTTTGTTAACCTTATTATTTAGTTTAGTATTTAGTATTAGTTTGTACGACCATAAAAGTAAACAAAAAAACCTTACATATTTTCATTCTCATTGTGGTTTATTTTCTACGATCATAAACGATAAATGTTTGTGTCTTTGTTAAGATTAGTATTTGTTTGTACGACCATAAATGGAAACAAAAAATTCTTTAAATTCTTTCATTCTCATTGTTTATTTTGTACGATCATAAACGTAACCAAAAAAATCCTTACACTCTTAAATTCTCATTGTGGTTTATTTTGTTCGATCGTAAACGACAAACTTTTGCACCTTTGTTAACATTATTATTAGTTTGTATGACCATAAATAAACACAAAAAAGTCCTTAGATTCTTTCATTCTCATTTTGGTTTATTTTGTACGATCATAAACGTAAACCAAAAAAATCCTTACACTCTTAAATTCTCATTGTGGTTTATTTTGTACGATCATAAACGATAAACTTTTGTGTCTTCGTTAAGATTAGTATTAGTTTGTACGACCATAAAACTAAACAAAAAAACCTTACATATTTTTATTCTCATTGTGGTTTATTTTGTACGATCATAAACGATAAATGTTTGTGTCTTTGTTAACATTAGTATTAGTTTGTACGAAGAAAATGAAGATAAGAACTATGAAAAAGTGATTGCATTTCTGTTCGAGGGGTTAGTTTATCTATAAAGCATTATGTTTTGAAAGATATAGAGCTCTGGAATGAATGAATTATGCATTAAATTTAGTTTGTTTAAACTAAAAAAAAAAAAGTAAGCAAGTACCAATGATGTGGTTTGGTGTAAAAACTAGTTTGGTCCTGACTGAGTTTCACACATGTGGCCTAGACTTGGTTTGTAAGTGTGTGACAAAGTTTAAGCTTCACTGCTGTTGACTCTATTGTATTTTACCTCCTGGTTATCATTTGTTGGGTTTTGCTCAGCACTTTTTGAAATAAAATGTGTAGAATAAAAACACAGATATCACTTTCCACCCCGGTGAATGAAGGAATAAGCTAAATGATCATCCTGGTTACTAAAACTGTTCCTCAAATGGTTAAAAAGAACAGGTATAGAGAAGAAAGTATTGAGATAAGTACAGTTATATATATCTATTTTGTTTCTCAGTCCTGTTTTAGTTACTAACATGCTTTCTTCTAATAATATGCCTGTTTTTTATGCTTTTTTTTCTCTCCTTTTAAAGTTACTACAACCTGGAGGACATCAGCCACGAGTCCATCAACAAATATCTGTCCACTTTGGTCGAGAAAAGCCTTCGAGATCTGGAGTGCTCCTACTGCATCGAGATACAGGAGGTCTGTGCTTCTTTCTCGGTTTTTAACGATGTTTTAATCATGTTGTCCACACGTGCATTTGTTTAAAGCCACTGTACCTGATTTTACTGACGTGGAAGTGTAGAAAACAGAGTAAATTCATTTTAAACAGTTTGAAGTTATGCCTCACTTTCCTTTCCTGCATTTCTAGAATCCTAATTATTCACCTCAAGAAGTTTATAAGCAGAGCAGAGTTTTACTTTCTTGGTAATACTAACAACTGAAAATATTAATTATCGATATATCTTATCGTTTAATGTGATGAAACAGTATCGATATCATGAGCTGCTGTATCGATGTATCTCTAAGGGTATTTTTTTGGTATATTTTACTAAAGTATTTTTTTACAGTGCCACAGTTTTGTTGCTTGTTTAAAGAAAGGAAACTCATTTTTGCCACACATTTGACATTTTCACTGTTTTGAGGATTAAAATGTTTTTGTTTCATATGAACTTTGGACAAGAAATGGTTTAACAAAGACTTAAGTTTAATTCCAAATAATCATTTTCATTAGTAATTAAGTGTTTACATGGTCTTTTTAAATCAGAATTCATTTTTGTCCATCCCATCCATACATTTTCTTCCGCTTATCCGGGATCACGGGGGCAGCAGTCTAAGCAGGGACTCCCATATTTCTTTCACCCCAGACAAGTCCTCCAGCTCCTCCGGGGGGATTTTTTAATTAATTTTTTGATAATTTTTATTCTGAATTTAATTATTTTTATTCAGAATTAACGCTCTCATGTAAACGTGGCGACAGTGGCCTCATTTTGACACTAACAGCTGTTTTACAATACGGTATATCATTACTGGGACAAAGCAATTTCTAGTTACTGTCTTGATAAAAGCCAGACACAGCCGCTTTAATTTGTCGTGCCGTTACATTAAAAATCTTTCTTTGTTTTATCCAGGATGATCGCACAATTGAGCCCATGACGTACGGGCGAATCTCCTCTTATTATTACCTCAAACATCAGACCATCCGCATGTTCAAGGAGCGACTGAGAGCAGAGCTGCCCATCGAGGAGCTGCTGTCCATCCTCACGGTGAGTTTAAGCCGCTCAAATAACACACGACAAGAAAACTAAAACATTATGACCAGCAACAGGAAGGGATGACGCAGTAACTGAAATCCTTTATTCACTTTGTCGATTATTTTATTTATATCATGCAACAAGCTTAGACTTAAACTTTATCGATCCACAAGGCAAATAATTTGGACACAGGAGCATCACTCATCACAATATAATATAACAAAGAGCAAAAATATAAACTCTGATAATAAATTTTAAATAAGTAGCCAAAAGATCGTAAGAGACAGGTACAATATTAAACCCTTATGAGCTTTAAACTGTGTTATAAATACACCTGGATTTGTGTTTTGTTTCATTCACACATGTTTGAGTCAGGGATGGGCACGATTAGTCGACTAATCGATAACTGATCATTAAGAATTTCGTCGATTACGTTCATTTCTAATCGACAAACCGAATGTAGGTTTCTGTGCGTAGATATGAGGCTGCATCTGACAGCGCAAACACTGGAGTTGCGGCCTCAGTCCCACGTTTGGGCTCTTGCACCTCCTTGAGATCACAAAACCGCCCAGTGAGTGCGTTTACATGCACATCTGTATTATCCCGGTTTCGTCATGGTGCATGTAAACGCTGTAGCCCGGTTACTGCAACACATAAAGAGCTGCGCTAAACCTGCACACGTACGATCTTTGGAAACATCGCGACACACAGAACAGACTCACCTTCAGCATCAACATCCCTCTGTCACAGAAAGAACACTCATATTCCACTGAGTCGTGTCCTTTTGTCCGAAGGAAGCTGAACCGCATCAGCGCACAAGAGCTTTTTTTTTTTTTCTTCGCTTAGTTTATGCAAATTTGCCATGCGGTTTTAAGTTTCGTTTCTACTTGCACAAAGCTGCATTAAGCACATTATAATCTCAAACGGGCTGATGTGGCTCTAGAGTGGTGACGGTTTATCTGTCGTAAAGTTTAATTTATTTATGCAGATTAGTAATGGTAATAATAAAGATGATACTTATTATATAAAAACGTTAATGATTAATCAAAAATCGATCGTTAATTCTCCCGACGATCGATTAATGAACTTTCATCGAATGCCCATTCCTAGTTTGAGTAAGCCTTTATTTTTAGTTTTGTCGACATCTCCAAAGCTCTGTTCCACCTTGTGATGTCATGAAGAAGTAGTTTTTTCAAGTTAACATCTACATTTTACCTTTTGTTTACTATAGATCGGAAATTCCAGTGCTGAAATTATCCAAATTATTACCTCCGCCAAGGAGGTTATGTTTTTGCCGGCGTTTGTCTGTTTGTTTGTTTGTTTGTCTGTTAGCAACATAACTCAAAAAGTTATGGACCGATTTTGATAAAATTTTCAAGATTTGTTGAAAATGTGAAAAGGAAGAACTGATTTCATTTTGGGGGTGATCCGGAAGAAATCCTGGATTCTGGATCACTTTGAAATTTTAGTTAACATTGTGGTAAATGGGGCCAAAAATTTTGTTTCTCAATATCTCGGTTAATTATTGACCAAACCCCATGAAATTTGACTCAGGGATGGACAATGGGATCCTCTTTCATATTCCAAAGCCTGATCCGGATCTGATCCAGAAGACTGATTTTATCGCAATTTATATAAAAAATGAGGGTAGCCCTTGGCGGAGGTCTGCGCTCTCTGAGTGCTTTTCTAGTTAGTTTAGTGAAGGTCTATAGAGTTTAAAAACAGTGATCCTTGTCCTTTTGGTCTTAAAGTGTTCATATTAATCCCGCTTTACATGATCCTGGTGTTGTTTTTTTCTGTTATTTTCCCCGTTAAAAAAAAAAAGTGGAGTGGAGCCGAGCGCTGTGGGTAACATCACACTCACTTAGTCCACTTAGTCTATTTGTGGAACTTTGTAAGAATTCAGGTATTGCGAATGCATTTTTAGCAACAGAACCCATGTAAATAAATAAGATCAGTTTAATGCCTTACTGTGGGACATTTGAGGCTGAGCAGTCACATGTTACAAAGCACATAGTCAAGTGTTAGAAGTGGTCTAAGGAAGGAACGGCTTTCGTGCTGCTCTAGAAATACTATCCCCGCATGTGTTTAAATTATCGCCTCCGTCTCCTCATCATTAACTCTCTCGCTTCCTGATTTGAACTTTGACCTTGTGTATGTCACCGTGAGGTCATCCAGAGGCAGCTCCTGATTGGACGGCTTGACCCTGGCTTTACACCTTTAGCGGAGGGGGAGGAAGAATTGCTTTAACAAGTGTCGTACCAGTAACTGTGTGCTGCCTTTTCTATGATGCCATAATCAGCCTGGAGTTAATATATTTTTACAGTGTTTCAGTCAAGTATTAAAGTACCGTATTTTTCGGACTATACGTCACTCCTGAGTATAAGTTGCACCAGCTAAAAAAATGCGTGATGAAGAAGAAAAAAACACATATAAGTCGCATTTTTGGGGGGGAAATATATTATATAAAATCAGAGACCAGGAACTGACATTTCATCAATAACAATAATAACAATAGAACAGAGAACAACAGACTGTTAACGTCACATATGAACAGTTCTTCAGATAAACTATAACATAAACAACAGAACAGAACAAGTTTAACAAACTCTCCATCTCACTCCAAATCACTAAATCCATTCAATTCTTCATCCTCTGTGTCACTTCTGAGCAACTCCACGACCTCCAGAGGTAAACAGAGCGCCGCTTCCTCTTCTGTGTCGCTGTCGTCAGACTCAGCATCAGTTCCAGTTAGAATTATTCTGGTCTTTCTGAATCCCGACAGGATGGTTTCAGTGTCACTGAAATCCAGGCTTTGTCCATCCATCCAGTGACTTCAGGAAAGTTTCATGGTGCATCCTCCCGGTGTCACAAGTTTCTCACTCACTCCAAACTTTCTTTCTACTGCTCGATTATCGTTTTCAGCTGAATATTTCGCTACTTGCAGCTTGTAATCCACAAAGTATGATTTTGTTTTTGAGGCATTTGTGTTCAGTCTTCTCAGTCGTCTTTATAAGTTTGTTTACATTTTAAATTTTCCGTGGTGCAGAAGTAACGGTGCGATCGAGTGACATGATACAGACAGGACAGAGGCTCTTTCTGCAGGAGACATGCGCAGTAGAGCCAAGTGACAGTGGTACAGGAGGAACAGGAGCAGCAGATACTCACACACAAGACTAGAGCCTCTCGACGCTTCAGTGTGAAAGTATTAATATATAAGTCGCACTGGAGTATAAGTTGGAACACCACCGAAACCATGAAAAAAATACAGTTATAGTCTGTGGAATATGGTAATGATCAGATTTGAGGTAAATGTTTAAAAAAATATTATTTTATCATGCATATTACATTAACCACTCAATCTCATGAATAATCTAACAAGGAAATTATTTCTCTGTATCAACTTTATTCCACCCCATCCACTTTTGTCTCTAAATGCTCCTAAATTGCGCTTTTTTGTGGTTGCACTTCCAGTTAATCATATCAATATCAGTGGAGAATTTGGGAAACATTTTGCGTTTTAAATATGACATAAAGTCGGTTCATTTGTGTAAAATGTTCAATCTTTATGTGCACCAACAAGTAAACCCTGCACCGATTCTCTGAGGGGCTTTAAAACGACTTTATAGTCCGTGTTGAACTTATTTACTGCTCCAGACAAAACCTGAATCATGAAAGCGACGCCCAGGGAAACTTCGGGAATACGGTGAATACGCGCAATCTGTCAAGTCGCTTTTCCGCAGTACACAAGCGTTGTTTTTCCGAGTTTATGACAGATCCCTCTTCTTCTATTACCCTCGTTCTGCGTCTTGTCCAGCGCTCCGTCTGAAGCGGCCCGCGTAATGACTTTAACATATGGAGAGCCTCATCACTCTTCTCTTTCACACGAGACCCCGCTGTCCATCACACTAACACATACAATAGGCCAGTGACCCTCCTTCTCTCTCTCCTCCCCCTCCTCCTTTTCTCTCTCGTTCCCTCTCTCCTCCCCCCGACGTTCACACACAAAGCCCTGACATGCTCCCGCTCTTGTCTTATAATTGTTGCAGTGTTCACTAACAGCTCCAGTCACACGTCCCGCTCCTCCTCCTGTATTTAGGGTCCGTGTTAAACCGAGTCTCCCGGGGCCTGCAGCAATCAATCACGTTATTAATCGGACTACTTTGTTTTGGTTTTTTTAGGGCCTCAGTCGTTAATTGGAATAACTGGGAGTACATATTTATAGCTAGTTAACAGTGTTGAGAAGGTGACTTTTAAAATGTATTCCTCTACAGATTACAGATTACATACCCCAAAATGTAGTTTGTAACGGAATCCATTAAATTACTTAAGGTGAGTAACGGGATCTGAATACTTTGGATTACTTGATTTGCTGTAGAGAAGCAAAGACGAGGAAGTCGTAACATAAGAAGTTTTGTCTGATAAAAGAAAATAAAAAGCCCAGACTTTACTGAACCAAATTAAAAATATTATTGATTGAAGACGAGGAGACACGGTCCGCACAGCATGGCTTAGTCCTGTTAAATTCTGGTTTAGTCCTGGTTCAGACCTAGTTTAGTCCTGGTCCTAGTCCTGGTCCTAGTCCTGGTCCTAGTCCTGGTCCTAGTCCTAGTCCTAGCCCAAAATGTGAAAACAGGAAAATCCCGCCGTGTAATCCATTTATTTCAATAAAGTAACTGTAATCTAATTACCACTCACTGAAACAGTAACTGTAACTGAATACAGTTACTCATAATTTGTACTCTGATTACGTAACTCCGGTACATGTAATCTGTTACTTCCCAACACTACTTGTTAATAGTAAAATCCATAGTAAGTGCTTAATTACATCTTTGTTAGTATTTATAAAGTACTTTTAATGCATTTTTGTCCATTTTGCGAGTAATAACCCATTAACTATTTTCTTCCCATTAAAGTAGTCGAGATCACAGACGATGTATTTTTGCACACACTGAAATCTGAATAATGTTTGATTAATACCAACTAATAACTAAGTAACATCTAATTAGCAAACCAATTACCACTTAATATGTGGTCCCTGAACTAAAGTGTTTTAATGAAATTATTTTTATCTGTACTATACAAAACTTTAAAACAGGGGTGTCAAACATACGGCCTGGGGGCCAGATCCGGCCCTCCAAGACCTTTAATCTGGCCCTCTGCTGATTTTCTACTAAAATATTTTAATTATATTTTAAAATATTGTTAATTTTCTGTGGTGTTTATCACAGCAGTTTCTCAAGTGTCTCTGTACGTGGCCCCTCCCACCAGAGCAGCACAAATGAAGACTTGTCTCTTTCCAAACGCTCTTAAAGGACGATCGTTTTGACTGTTGACCGTGACACCCACATCAGAAAAATGTCCAAAATAAGAAAAGTGGACACAGAGTACAGGATTTTGCAACAAAAACTGACTTATTGTTAATGTTAAAACATTGTTGCATTTTTCTTAAAGTTTCAGGTTGTTCATGATATTATATTTTGTAAAAGAAAGAGTTCATCAATTTAAAAAAGATTTCTGTCATAGATTTGTGTTTCTCTGCACAAATATTTGAACTTATTGTTATTTTTGGGGTTTATATGTCATGAGTTTTCTGATCCAGCCCCTTTGTTTGACACCCCTGCTCTAAAACATATGCCAAAAGACCTTTTTATAGCAAAGACAGCAGCAAAAAAAAACCAAAAATAAACAATAAATAATATTCCAATCAGTTATTAACACATATTCATACATATTCTCTATTTAAGTCGCCATAATTAAAGCTTTATGTCAGTGGGGTCAAAACCAAATTCAGAGAGGCCCAAAATTTTAAAAACTGGGACTAAATTGTGCTTGAATATTTCACAGTGCGGCATTAAACTTAGAAAAACAAGTGGTCGACTCTCTGTTATAAAAAATTGTGCTTTTAAGACCTAAAATTATGTGCAAAAGTAACACCTTGTGAAATATCTCTGCTTTTAACCACTATAGTGAAAGATAAAATTCTAACTTGACAGAAACGCGTGAATCTCTACTGAATAAATTACAACTTTTATAACATAAACCATGTCCAATCTCCAAGTTTTTCCATTTTTTTTACTACAAAATTTACATTACAGACTTGATTTTCACCTATTTTCCATTTAAAACTTGGATTTTAACATCAAATAAACACTACACATCTACAGTAGACCATCTCTTCTTTCTCTTTTTCTTTGTCACGCCTTATTTATTCACATTTTGCTTATATTTTGATCCTAAATGTTCTCGTTAATGGCTCCCGAAGATGCATTATAAGATCTATCTCCTCTCTTTACATCCCATCCATATGCATACCCCACTTTTACGTGTTCAAACAGAATTCTCACCCCCATTTTTCACCCCGGCCTATACACGCTCCCTATATTCCTCCTATAGTCTTTTCCCTTTAAACTTGTGTCTGGTTGGTAACAAATGAGCCCCTGGTTTGGCTCGTGATAAATGCCCCGTGCGGCCGGTGGGGGGGCTGTTCTGGCTGAGTGGATGCAGGGGTTGAACGGAGGAGGGGGGGTAAAACGTGTCTGTGCATTTCAGTGTAAAGACAAAGAGACAGGAGAGTGATGGAGAGACGTCAGCACAGGAGCAGACACTGATTTAAGCATCTGGGGCTGGGTTTGTAGGGAAGTGTCTCCTGTCTTAGATGACTTATTTGTAAAGGTTTCATTAGAGGTGGAAAATGTTGAAAGATGTATAATATTGCAGTCGTTTTTGAGACGTAAAATACCATGTATATTATCTGGAATTAATCTTTTTGAGGAGATTTTTTAACTCAAAAGAGAGAAATGTTTTGTGTAATAAACAATGGTATAAAGTTAGGTTTTTGACATCCATCCATCCATTTTCTTCCGCTTATCTGAGGCCGGGTCGCGAGGGCAGCAGTCTAAGCAGGGACTCCCAGACTTCCTACACCCCAGACACGTCCTCCAGCTCCTCTGAGGGGACCCCGAGGCGTTCCCAGGCCAGCTGAGAGACATAGTCCCTCCAGTGTGTCCTGGGTCTTCCTCGGGGCCTCCTCCCGGTGGGACATGCCCGGAACAGATGCCCGAGCCACCTCACCTGGCTCCTCTAGACGTGGAGGAGCAGCGGCTCTACTCCGAGCTCCTCCCGTGTGACTGAGCTCCTCACCCTGTCTCTAAGGGAGCGCCCAGCCACCCTGCGGAGGAACCTCATTTCGAGCGCTTGTATCCGCGATCTCGTCCTTTCGGTCACTACCCAGAGCTCATGACCATAGGTTTTTGACATTTTGTAGTAAATTGTATAATCCATTAATATTTTGTGCTAAACTTATTTATATATTTATTTGTTAATTTATTTCAAAAAGACATCAACAGTGTCACAACATCAACCATACAAGAAATGAATGAAAAGGAGGAGAAAGAAAAAGTCGTCTTATGTTATTTGGCCCGTTTTCCCTTTTCAAGACAAAACATCATCACTGATCGTTACTTTAAAACATTTCAAATCAGTACATTTCAGTTCAGGCACAATTATTAATCAACTCCAAACAGAAATCTTCACTATTATGCACAACAACTTAGTTTTCTTTTTCATACATACACATTGCTTTCGATTTTATGTGTTTTTTTTTTTTATCATTGTACTTGATTCTTTTATATCTTTGTCAAGACGATCCCATAATTTAACTTCTTTCACAGTGATGCTTTGATCGATAACTCTAGTTCTGAATCATGTAGGTTCTTTTTAAATTGTAGTGTCTTGTTCTCATCTTAAACAGACTTTGAATATTTACAGGTAGCACTCTGCACTTTGCTTTAAACATGACTTTGAGGAGACTTAAGTCAACATTATCCTGCTTTTTAAACACTTTAAGTTGAACAAATAACAGATTGGACGGCTCTCTACAGTATAAAGACTGTTGGTGATAATTCTCATGACCCTTTTTTGTAAAATAAATGAAGGTTGTAGGTAAATTTTACATGTTGACCCACAAATTTCAGATATGGTGCGATTATACAAAGTTAATAATGCTGCACGATTTAGTGAGAGCTTTACTTTATGCAGCACAGCAATGGCTTTGGAAATTTTGTCTTTAGTGTAATTTGAGACCTCCAGTTTAGACCTTCATCCACTTGAACCAACTAAGACATTTCAGACACATTTTGGTACATTAATGATGCATTGTTAAAATAAATAAGTAAATAAATCTGAAAAAAATCTCAGTATTGCCCATATTCTGATGGAACATTTGGCAAACGCTTTTCGTCATGATGTTATTGCTTCATCCGGAATGTTTTGCAGTATGGCATTTTTAAACCTTTCTATCTTCATAGAAACTAAACTAAACCAGACCAAGTTACAGGTCAGATCTGTGGAGAGGCGACCCCGCTCACAGTCAGAATACATGTTTTTGTCTGTATTTTTGAGCTATAAATCCACCTGTAATTAAGTAAATGTAAGGTAGAGCTGTTTAATGCCGTACCGTGGAACATTCCAGGCACATATCCATACCAGAAAAGTTACACCGTGCACCTTTAACTTGTTTTTTGTCATAGAAAGGCGTTTAGAGCATCAAACACTGCATAGTTTTGATGTTAAGTGCAAATATGAGTTTTCCTGCATCTTTAGACAGTCTGCTCTTTATTCTGTCAAATAAACACAAAAACATTTACACAGTTAAACACAATAGATTACTTTTTATTTAGAAATGTTTAAATAATGTGCATGTTCTTCCCTTTCCTCTCAGGACGCGGAGGAGTACGCGGAGCTGCCCGTGCGACACAACGAGGACCAGCTGAACAGCGTGTTGGCTCAGCAGCTCCCCCTGCAGGTGAACCCGCACTCGTTCGACAGCGCTCACACCAAGACCCACCTCCAGGCCCACTTCAGCCACGCTCCGCTCCCCTGCAGCGACTACGGCACCGACACCAAGACCGTGCTGGACAACGCCATTCGCGTCTGTCAGGTGGGTCAAAGATTCTGTTTGTGCTTTTATTTAAAGAGGAGATTTGAACACCTAAACCAGCGCAGTATCTGGAGGAATGAAGGAAAGAGTGAAGGAGGAGGGGCGGAGTCTGGAGATATAAGAACTGTGTGATTGGTCTAACAGGTATCCATTAGGGCCCGACCAATATTTTGTTTTTATTTTGTTTTTTTGCTGCCGATATGATACCGATAAAATGGGAGTTAGAGCTGCCAATAGTCGATATAAAAGCCGATATATTTAGTGATGTAAAAATTCTCTATAAATCTTCAGTTGATTATAAAACATAGGTCTGGTTCTACTGGATTTTAAATTGGGTTTGTTTGGCAACATTTATTGTTGTTCTGCCTCTTTATGTCATATTTAAAGACAGCAGGTCAACCTAACGACATTTTTGCGTGACATTCTCGCCAGTAATTTTTTCTTTTTTAAATTAGACAAATTATAATATATAAATTAACAGGCAAAAGGAAAAAAAGAAAGAATACAATGACATCTAGTTGAAGAAAACTGGGCCATTTTCTCGAGTGGGTGAAGAAAACTGGTGAAGAAAACTGGGCCATTCGTTTTCTCGAGTTACTGTCGCCAACAGAGCCCAAAGGAAGTCGTCATCCGCATGTTTCCAAACATCTGCTGGCACAAGCATGAACAGTGCCCTTACAGCAAATTTGACTAAAATGCCAAAAAATAAATAAATAAAAAATGTCGAGGAGCAGTAGATAATGCTGTAAAAACCAAAAGTAGCAGAAAAAGGATTCAGTGTTTGGTTCAATTTTAAAGATGACTAGAATCATCTCTGTCCGTCCACTATGGCTGAGTATACATACGTACCTGGATGAGGTGCAGTCTTGATACGATTCAGTGCTCCTTTATATATCTGTATATATATTTGATCTGATCCATTAGAGCAGTGCTGTCAAACTCAGAATTCACAGAGGCCAAAACTAAAAAGTGGGACTAAGTCGTGGCCTAATCTATTGAAAATTTTCAACATCTGCATGTTTTGTAATGTTAAACCTTTTCTTATTAAAGTAAATGTTTAATAATACTTTTGCTTAAACACTGATTCCAGAACAAGCAGAATATAAAATAACAACATTTTAAATAAATAAATGTGTCTATAGTCTCTGTAGTCGGCGGGCAGCTCTAATACATATCTGATATGATCTCGCGGGCCAAATATAATTATATCGCCGGCCAAATTTGGCCCCTGGGCCTGAGTTTGACATGTCTGCATTAGGGAAAAGGCCCACTGTTTTGTAGTTAAAGCCATTTTAGAAAATTGTACACATGCATTTACTAATCTGATGCATGTGTAGATGTTCAGCCAGCCTATATATAAACCTATAAACTATACTCTAGTTGTGTTTTTGTACTTTTTCTTTGCTATTCAGTAATATTTTTTTAATTATATTGGTAAAACAACAGTAAATCACATGGGTTTTTTCTTGTTTTATAAATGAAAGCAAAAAAAAAAAAAAAAATCATACTTTTTACCTTTTTAAATTGTCTAATCAATAATCCGCAGACTGTGCATAATAAATGACGTTTGAAAAACACAAATAAGCCTCTATAAATGTTGGTAAGCGGTAGCAGCAGGGCGGCTCTGAAGTGGCCTGAGCGCTGAGCCTTGGACTGTCTCTGCTCTCTCAGCGTAAAATCACAAACACATGTGGACAATGGTTTACAGACACTGCTGACTTCAAATAGAAACTAAACAAACTCGCAAACAATTTACTCTGTCCACACATTAACACCCAGCACCGAGACAAAGAAGCATTTGTAAAGCCTGTGCCAGACTTGTCCTGGATATAATATTGTTTCACAGAAGGAGAAATGAACCGGCTGAAATGGACGAGATGGTTTTGAATGGTTTTGTCTGCCCTCTTAAGAGATTGTGTTATTTATGGAGTGGATCTTCAGGTTAAAACTACAAATCACAAACCAACGTCCAACATTCCTCTAACTCAGAGCGGCCTCCCAAGATGTGTTCGATTTCACGCTCTCCAGGAAAAAAACAACGCCTAAAGTGGTTTAATCTGGGGTTATAGCTATATCTGGGTTTACAGTGCCGTTTTAAAGAGGGAGGATTATGCAAAATCAGCTTTTTCTTTCAGTTTTCTACCGTTTTATAATGTTGTTTCCTCATCAAAGTCATGCCTGAGGTGCTTTTATATGTCATCCATGCATGTTTGAGTCATCTAGCGATCTCTTCCAAGCATTATTCAAGCTCTTACAGTTAGAAGTACAAGCTGGTACAAAGCTCCGCCCACAAACCAACGTCTCCCGTGCTCTCACATTACAGTTTTACATAAATATACAAAAGCAGGATACAAAACAACACACTACAACTTCACTAACCTGATTCGATGTGCAGTAGTTTCATTACTTAGACTTCTTTAAACCCGTTTTTATCAGCTGGACTTCCTTTAACTTGATTTTATTCCTTATTTATTTTGATTCTATGTTTTATTTATTATAATTAATTGAATAGTTTGCATTTTTGTCTGTTTTTCTATGCCTTCTGTCTGCTATTTTTATGCTTTTTGTGTCTTTCTTTGCGGCTTGTACATCACTTTGTAAACCTTATTTTTAAAAGTGCTTCGTGAATAAAAATCTGTTCATCTATTTATTTATTTATTCATTAGCGGGATTGACGCTGATTGTGTTGCGATAGCGCTCTGAACACGCCTGACCAGGAGCAAAGGGAAGGGTGAAACAAAACTGATACTTATTAATTAATTATTTATTTATTCAATATTTTACCAGGTAAGTCAATTGAGAGAACACCTTCTTATTTACAATGACGACCTGACCAAGAGGGAGTGAACAGAACAGACTCACACATCAACTATAGCATTAAACGGTGACTAGAGATATAAGACAGTGAAACAGTTGCAGATAAAAGATGTAAAAGTGTTAAAACATGTGCAGTTATTCTGTAAAAAACTTTGAATGGAGTTTGACAGAGGTAAAAACGAATGAAGTTTTTAAAGTAAACATGTTAATACGTTGTTTTCGGCAATTATAGCATTTTTAAAACAATAAAAAGTAACATGATGATCTAATTATGTGTCAGCAGTTAATACTCCACAGAACTGCCCTACCTCCTCTTTCACTAAGGTTCTGGGAATGCAAACTAATGTTAGATTGTTGTAGCCCGTCTGATCGTGTCTGTAAGCAGCAGAAGTTTAACTCTGGTTCTGTCCTCGTCCTCGTCTAGGCCATGTTGGACGTGTGTGCTCACGAGGGCTGGCTCGTGGCCTCTCTGTGCGTCTGTCAGCTGGTGCAGATGCTGGTCCAGGGCAGGTGGCTCCACGACTCGTCCTTGACCACACTGCCCCACGTGGAGACGCAACACCTTTATCTGTTCAGGTAAGAAGCCCGACTGTTACTTCATTTAATGGGTGAAGCAGTCAGTCAGCATGAACTTTGTAAAAGGTGATTTAAACCTAATTATTGATTTAAAATATTGATTATTAGTAGTTGTAGCTTAAAGGAAACTTAATGGACATTCATAAGCTTTTTGCCGTGTTATTGTTCTCATATTGTCATGACATTACTAGGGATGGGCATGATTAGTCGACTAATCGATAATTGATCATTAAGAATTTCGTAGACCACTTTCATTTTTAATTGACAAACCAAATGTAGGTTGCTGTGGGTTGCAAAGCGGTATGAGCGGGTTTATGGAGTATCCTGGTTTTGTCATGGTGCATGTATATTCAATATACCAACAATCAAAAGACAAACACTTTTCAGTCTTTTCATCACAACAGGAGCCAAAATAAATAAAGTGACCAACATAAATAAAGTGAGTGAAATGATGTTAAATAAAGAGCTGCACTAAACCTACATATGTCTGATTTCTGAAAACATGAACCATCTCCAACACGACACTCACACAGGAACAGACTCACCATCATCATCGTCATCATCAACACCCCTCTGTCACAGAAAGAACACTCATATTCCACTGAGTTGTGTCCTTTAGTCCGATAGAAGCTGAACCGCATCAGCGCACAAGGAAAGAGCTGTTTTTTCAGCGCTTATAGTTTATGCAAATGAGCCATGTGGTTTTAAATTTTGTTTCTGTAAAACATAAACAAATGTGTCAAAGCTGCATTAAACACATTTTAATCTCAAACGGGCTGATGTGGCTCTATAGTGATGATGGTTTATATGTTGTGAAGTTGAGTTTATTTATGCAGATTAGTAATAGTCATAATAAACATGATCATTTTAATATAAAAATGTTAATGATTAATCAAAAGTCTATCGTTAATTCTCCCGACGATTGATTAAGAAAATTTAATCGAATGACCGTCTGTAAGCGTTACTCATATTTGCATTTTGGTTCATACATGTTTAAGTAATCCTGTGTTATCCTGCATCAGAGGCTTGAGTTCTCAGAAAATGTCTGTTTCCACTTTCCTTTTTGTCTCTTCACTAACTGTTCTGTATTTGTAGTGATTGTTGGAAAAATTCAGGCTTTGATTCGGCATTTCATACGTGGATGTCACAGGACCTGTTTCCAAAATTAAGCCATTTTAGATCAGTATTTCTTCTTACACTGTACAAAATGTAAAATCATGATCTACTTGTTCGTTAGATGTAACTAAATCTAAACCAGATCATTTTTTAACCTGTTTGTGATCAACAGGAAATGGTCGAATAAGAAGAGCCCCTCTGATAAAGGCGCGTACACTGGACCAATAGAAGGACTTCCAGAGCTGATGGCCGTTTGTGCAGGAAGAGAAAGTGTTTTTGCATCAATCCTCGAGCAGGAGTTTAATCGCAGCCAAATCAACCAGGTAAAACTTTACAAAAACAAACTTTATTGATCCACAAGGGAAATTATTTGGACACAGAAGCTCACACATCAAAAATATAATATAATAACAAAGAGTAAAACATATAAATGGTAATAATAAATACTAAATAAATAGCAAAAAATTGAAAGAAACAGGTGTCAAATAAGGCATAATTAGTTAAATGTTTATGTACAAGTCAAAATAAAATTGAAGTATTTTTTTAGCTGTATTATTTATTTGTCTGTTTTGTTTTCCCTAACCCTAACCAAAAAAAGATAGATACATTTACATTTCAATTTTTGCCAATTGTAATGGTTCTGTCTCAATTTCAAGAGGAATCTGTTTTATTCCTATGTGTTTGAGCATAATCCGTCTTGCGTTAGTTCAGATTGTGTTGTATAAGCAGCTCTTGAGGTGAAAATAAATCTGCTGTAATTCTAAAATTATTATTGTCCAATAGGGCTGAGAATCAACAAGTTCCCGATACGATACATACCTCGATACACAGGCCACGATACGATAAAAATCTCATACACTGAGCTTACGATTCGATACGGTTCAATAAAAATAATGTCTAAATCATGGCTGTAATACTAAAAGTCTTTGTTAAACCACTTTTTGTGCAAAGTTAATCTGAATCTTTAATCATCAAAACTGTGAAAATGTCAAATGTGTCGTATAAAGGAGTTTCCTTTCTCTAAACATCAACAGAACTGTATTCAGGCTGGTGCCACTTAGTGTCTCCGCTCAATTTCATTTCTCTCCAGCGACTGGGTCAGGAATCAGAATACACTAGACGGTTCGCAAAGAAGTTGTAGACCATGCACTGGCCAATCAGTGAAGAGCTGTGAAGCCGTGACGTCAAACTCAAGCGCCTGTCTGGGTCCCACAACAGTAAACAAAGCGTCGAGATGGATGTAGACGAAGACATACATTCTGTGTTGGCAACGATTCCCGAGATCGAGGATTTAAAGCCGGAACAAAGAGAATGTTTGGTTAATTTTATCAAGGGGAAAGATGTTATTGCTCTTCTTCCTATTTGGACTTGGTGCATTACATACATCACGACCAAATAACATCGACTGGTTAAATAAAAAACGTACCCGCTTATTGTGTGAAGAATCCCTCAGTCGTCCAGGTAGAATCCACGGCGAGGAGAAAATTCAGTTCGTCGACTGGACAGAAGTTAGTTCGGTTGAAGACGTTTCGATTTTGTCCAGTCGACAAACTGAATTTTCTCCTCGTACCCGCCTATTGTTGAGCGAACGAATCCTAATGCTGCGAGGTCAGACGGTTTCCACAAAGTGAAACCGGCGGATGAATCAGGCAACAAAACTGTAGCTCTGTAACAAAATAATTTAGTAAAATATACCAAATAAATGGTGATATATATCGATACAGCAGCCCCCGATATCGATACTGTATCATCACATTAACATTTCAATATTTTTGCACACCCCTATTGTACAAGCATCAGGAAGTGCAGAGGTAGCATGCTGGTTGTTGTAAGTTTTTCTATTTTAAACTCATCGCAGTTAATAATTACGATGCTCAGAATGCATAAGGTAAGTGAGGAATAAGAATGGACCGTACGTTTTTAAGACAATAAACATTTTAACGTTTTTAAGAAATAAAAATCTGAACGTTTTTGAGAATCTGAAAGTTTTTAAGACAATAAAAATCTGAACGTTTTTAAGACAATAAAATCTGTTTTTAAGACAATAAAAATCTGAAGACAATAAAAATCTTTTTAAGACAATAAAAATTGAACGTTTTAACAATAAAAATCTGGACAAAGAAAATAAAAATCTAAAAGTTTTTAAGACAATAAAAATCTGGAAATTTTTAAGACAATAAAAATCTGAACGTTTTTAAGACAATAAAAATCTGCATTTTTAAGACAATAAAAATCTGAAAGTTTTTACGACAATAAAAATCAAAACGTTTTTAAGACAATAAAAATCTGAACGTTTTTAAGAATCAGAAAGTTTTTAAGACAATAAAAATCTGAAAGTTTTACGTAAAAAATCTGAACGTTTTTAAAAATAAAAATCTGATTTTTAAGAATCAGAAAGTTTTTAAGACAATAAAAATCTGGACGTTTTAAGACAATAAAAATCTGAAAGTTTTTAAGACAATAAAAATCTGAACGTTTTAAGACAATAAAAATCTGAACATTTTTAAGTGTGTAAAAGTGAAACACAAGAGCTAAAAACCACTTGGACACTCCAGATTTATCTCAGTTTTACTCTTACCTCGTCGTCTGTGTGGCTCTCTGCTCGGAGCCGGGCCCACGTCCCCCCGGTCTTCTATTACCGCCGCGTTGATGGGGTTTCAGCTCCTGTGGAAGTGCTAATTGCCGCCGTAATGAGAGTGTCCGGGGCCTTGTGTGTTCACCCAATCACGACCCCCCTCCTCCCGCTCACCCCCCCGGCGTGTGCTGCCCGCTCTAATTAAACGATTAGATGCTCGGCGGCGTCCCTGTCTGCCCGCGCGGACCTCAGTAATCTGCTCATAAATAGCTTTTCCCGGTGATTCAGACCGAGTGTTGGGCTCCACACGCCGCTCGGCTAACGCTCCACCTGTGTGTTTTCACTCATGACACGCTTTAGAGTAGGGTTGAACAATTTCGGAGGAGGGGGGGGAATATCTAATTGCGATTTGTCTGACGAGCGTCGCGACGTATGTGTTAATAATAGGATTCTGTTCAAAGTTCACATCATAAACTCATCCAGGAGAATTGACTGAAAATGAGATGAGGAACTAACGCAGGGATCACGTTTCGGAACATGTTTGTACAGATCTGGACTGCAGGGTTCGCACAAGAAGACGTTTGGATGTTTTGTTGTTTGTGGAGGAAATTGTGGTACTTCAAAAACTGCAGCCTTTGAGATTTGCTAATTGCGTCTCTTTAAATCGTGATTTTGGGTCGTTTAATCTCGCAGCTGCAGTTTAAAGTAGAGAACGGGCCCTTTTTTACAGGATCTTTGTTTACTATTCCATTCATTCCTTGTTAGGGGTGTGCAAAAATATCGAAATATCAGTGTATTTCGTATCATTTAACCCTCTCAGGCTCAAATAAATTTTTAGTATCAGGAAAAATCTGATATTTGGGGAAAGAAACACTGAATCCAGAACAAGCAAAATATAAAATAATAAAAAATTTTTTAAAAATAAATAATGTCTCTATAGTCTATCTGTATCCGGCGGGCAGCTCTAATATATATTTGATATGATCTCACAGGCCAAATTTGACCCCTGTGCCTGAGTTTGACATGTCTGCATTAAATAAAATAAAGCATAAAATAAATAAATAAGCAAAGTCAATAAAAAACATTTAAAAAACCTAAAAATGTGAACAATTTAGAAAAAATAAAAAAAAAAGAAAAAGAAAAATTGCAAATAAAATCAATAAAAGACAGTCAGAGGGCCACACGATTCTCACACCGTGTTAAAACCCGGTGAGTAATAGTGTGTTTTTTAAAGAGACTTAAATGAATCGACTGAAGGGGCGCTCTTAATGTGAAGGGGGAGAGCGTTCCAGAGTTTTGGGCCGACCACAGAAAAGGCCCCGTCACCCCGACTTTTGAGTCTCGCTTTTGGGACGACAAGTTGGAGTTCAGAGTCAGAGTCTAAAATGTTTGTGTTTCATATTCACTTTGCACAAGAAGTGGTTTAACAAAGACTTTTATTATCACAGACATGATTTAGCCTTTATTTTTTATTGAACCGTATCGAATTGATTTGAAATATATCACATAGAACCAAAAGTGCACTGTATCGAGATGTTTATCGTATCTGCATCTTCTTAATGATTCCCAGCCTTCTTTATGGGCAGTTATGTTTAATGCCACACTGTGAAACATTCAGACAAAGCAAAAACATTTCCAAGTGGACATCGACAGCTGACAGGACGTTGCAAACTCTACGTACGATGTAAAAACGTCACCAGACTATGACGGAGTATAAGGGTCAGATAAAAAAATAAAATAAATGCTGGCGCTATGAGAATAAAGTCGGAACATTTTAACATTAAAGCCGTAATATTATGGGAATAAAGTCAAAGCCATTTTACGAGAATAAAGTAGTAATTTTATGAGAATAAAGTCGTAGTCAAAATAAAGTTGTAATATTAAGAGAATATCGGCTGCTCGGAAAGTCTGAACGAGTGGAGAATGGAGAATTTGGAGCATTTTGTAAAGGAGAAGAATCCGTGTCATTCGTTCATTCAACTGAACAAGGACTGAATCAGGACTAAATCAGGTCCGGAACCAAACCAGAAAGACCAGGATTGAGACCTGGACCAGACCAGGACTGAAAATGGTTTAGTCCTAGTTTAGTCCTGGTTTAAGTCACGGAAATGGGAAATGGCGTTTTGGTGACTTTAAAATGCGATGCGGGACTATTGCGCCGCATACGGACTGAACCAGGACTGAAACAGGACTGAATCAGGACTAAACCGTTTTCAGTGATCCCGGTCTCAGTCTTGGTCCCTGACTCAGTCCTTGTCTAAGTCCTGGTCTCAGTCCCGGTCTGGTTTCGGACCTCGTTTAGTCCTGGTTCAGTCCTGGTTTAGTCCTGGTTTAGTCCTGGTTCAGTCCTGGTTCAGTCCTGGTTTAGTCCTGGTTCAGTCCTGGTTCAGTCCTGGTTCAGTCCTGGTTCAGTCCTGGTTCAGTCCTGGTTCAGTCCTGGTTCAGTCCTGGTTCAGTCCTGGTTTCAGTCCTGGTTTAGTCCTGGTTTAGTCCTGGTTTAGTCCTGGTTCAGTCCTGGTTTAGTTCTGGTTCAGTCCGGAGGCGCAAATAATGAAGAAAATTGTTGTTCGTTTTCTTATTTTTGGTTTTGTATTGAAAAACAAGATTCTTCTTCTGCCGCATTTTTCACTTTGACTTTGATTTTATTACGACTTCATTCTCGTAATATTATAACTTTATTCTCATAATATTACGACTTTAATGTTGAAATGTTACGACTTTATTCTCCTAGCGCCAGCATCTTTTTTTTTGTTTTATCTGACCCGTATACTCCGTCGTACCAGACCAAACCTGAGTGTGTAAAATCAAATAAAGTCTTTTCTGCGTGTTTGTGTTTTAGGCCTGGTCGTTCCTGAGCCACCTCCCCGTGCTGGACGTGAGCCTGAGCGTGAAGGGCTGGTGGGAGGGGGACCGGGAGCGGACAGAGCGCCCCCTGGCTGCGGTCGGGGTGAACCTCCGCGAGGACAGCAGCTGGTGTGAGGTGCACGCTGATCAGGAGTATGTTCTACAGGTGTCTCTGAGGAGGGTCAACGCAGGGCAGCAGAGGGTCAGTATAAGCTTTTTCACTCACCTTAAAGGTTGTATAGAGGATTTTCCAAGGAACGAGAAATCCAGCGACTGTTTGTCCTTTTTCAAATGTTGCGCATGCGTGAAATCACCTCCCCTCCCCTACAGCTCCTACGTAGAAACGCCTTCTCCCTCCTCCTCTTTACGCCAGAAACAGGTTTGTTTACAGCCGGTGCTGCACATGACTTGTAAACAACTAACTACAGTGTTGGTTAGGCAAGACGGAGAAGTGAGGAGCGGGGGGAGCGGGTGCGCGGACATTTCGTTCGCGGACGAGAAGTGAGGAGCAGGAGGAGCAGGGAGCAGGGAGAGGAGAGAGGAGAGGGGAGCGGTGCGCGGAGATTCCGTGTCCGGAGAAGTGAGGAGCAGGGGGAAGAGCGGATCGGGCAGCGGGGACAGGAGCAGGAAAGGGGAGCAGAGAAGGTTGCGCGGAGATTCCGTGCGAATGAACTAGCTACAACACGCAGCAGCAAGCGGACTCTTTCTTTGCCTTGAAATTACGTTTTCAGACATAGGATATCGCTTTCGTGTCCTGAAAAACGTTTGTCTCGCTCTTGGAAATAAAGTACGTTTTCATAATAAGCAGAAGTTTCCTGTCCAGGAGTAATTTGTGGACCAGTGCGTCAGTCTTTAGACCCTGCGTCTGCTTCAGTCGCGCCATCGCTGGAATGAATCTTCAAGAATCACCTTAGTTTAGCTTCGCTGCTTTTCCCCTTGTCTTCTTCTTTCAGCGACCTCAAAAACGGACTTTCTTTTGCGGCGAACTGCTCCTGGATTCTTGTCTGCCATTGCAACAAACTTTGTGCAAACTGCGAGGAAGATATAGGTCAAAAAAAGCCGCTAAGAACTGTTGCGTTGGTGGAGTAAACAGCGTCTGTGCGTCTTGCGTCTGTGGACTGCGTGACAGTCGTACGTAAACCACGTACCGGCGGCGCGCAGGCAAGTCAGTTACGCTAGAAACGTAGGGAGATTGATTGACAGCCTGTCAGCTCACAGATAACGAGGCAGTGTCGTTATCTATTGGCAAATGTTTAGCCCCACCACGTCCAGAGTTGATGAATTTTTATTCTCTTTTTTTTGGTCATCATAATTACAAGGCTACTGCATCTCTATAATCTATCATTGACAACTTGAAACAAAAACAAACAAAAAAAAAATCCTCCATACATCCTTTAAATATGAATATGTCAAGTTGGACTTAGCCTCTGCCTTACTAGGAGATTTTGAAAATAGAAGTGATCCTGTCAATTTAATTATAACCCTAGGAAAACGTTTTATTTTTAAAGCAAAAAAACAATTCTCACTTAATATTAATTATCTAAAAAAATATATTTATCAGTACTTAACCTGGGAAGGTTACACAATTGAAACAGACAAAGAGAAAAAAAAAGTATAAAAAGAGATGGGAAGTTCTTAAATACCTGGGAGAAAATTAGTATGTGATATATATGCTAATATATCTTATAAAACTGATGTCGGCCAAAAAGATTTAAAGTAGGGATCTATATAATATTCATATATCTACTATTGGGGACTACTGCCACTACTACTGCTACTACTACCAATGATAATGATAATAATAATAATGAAATATTATTGTTGTAATTATTGTAATTAATAGTAGAGATAATAATAGGTATTATGGATGTAATAATAATTAATAATAATAAAAATAGTAATAGTGATAAAAGGTAGTGGAAATAATAGAATATTTTATATATAATAGTGGAATAGTAGTGGAATAATTAGTGATAATAATAACAGTAACAATAATTAATAAAAAGAAATGCCTTTAGGGTTATGTTTTTTGAGATTGTGACAGATGGGGAAAGATGATGAGGGGAACTGATGATGGTGAAAATAAATATTAGTCTGAGTATAGGGACTAATACATTTAAAAAATTAAAATTAAAAAAAAAAAAATAAAAAAAAAAAGGAAGGAAGAGAGACCGCAGTGTATCAATATTAGGGAGCCTAGCGGTGTATTTATGTTGCACTATCACATTTATATTGTTTTGAATGTGTGTCGTGTGGGTGGTTGGGGGGAAATGGGGGGGCTTTTTTGTATTTGTTGTGGTGTTGTGGTTGTTGTTTTATGTTTTTATGTTGAATTTTGCAATTGTTAAATGTTTTTATTTTGTTTTTTTTTGTTTTTTTATGTTATGTTCTGCTGTCTTTAATAAAAAAAAAATATATATATATATATATATATATATATATATATATATATATATATATATATATATATATATATATATATATATATATATATACACATATATATATATGAATATGTCAAGTTTTAGGTTTATAGGTAACTTAATCGCCTCCATTTTAATTTTTGCAACCTGGAACAGTGCTGAAAATTATTGTTAAGTAACTGTAGGCTTTTATATTTACTTCATATTCTGGATTCAAGTCCCACTCTAGTTTCAGTCAACAGGATTGTTTATGTACCGTATTTTTCGTAGTATAAGTCGTACCAGCCAAAAAATGTGTAATGAAGAAGAAAAAAAACATATATAAGTCTGACTTTTGGGGGGAAATTTATTTTATAAAAACCGACATTTCATCTTGAACAGAGAACAACAGACTGTTAACGTCACATATGAACAGTTCTTCAGATAATTATAACATAAACAACAGAACAAGTTTAACAAACTCTTCATCTCACTCCAAATCACTAAATCCATTCAATTCTTCATCCTCTGTGTCACTTCTGAGTAACTCCACGACCTCCGGAGGTAAACAGAGCACCGCTTCCTCTTCTGTGTAACTGTGACTCAGCCTCAGTTCCAGTTAGAATTATTCTGGCCTTTCTGAATCCCGACAGGATGGTTTCAGTGTCACTGAAGTCCAGGCTTTGTTCATCCATCCAGTGACTTCAGGAAAGTTACATGACGCAACTATGAAGCTGTGTTCTCCATCCCCACTTTCTGTCAGTCCCTCACAAGTTTCTCGCTCACTCCAAACTTTCTTTCTGCTGCTGGATTACCATGTTCGGCTGCATATTTCACTACTTGCAGCAGGACAGTGGCTCTTTCTGCAGGAGACATGCGCAGAAGAGCCAAGTGACAGTGGTACAGGAGTAACAGGAACAAGACTAGCCCCTCTCATGGCTGTCAGCGTGAAAATTTTAATATATAAGTTGCACCAGAGAGTCACAGGAAACACCCAAACCATGAAAAAGTGCGACTTACGGTCCGAAAAATACGGTAAATGCCTACATCTCCACTTACTAATTTAAAAAAGTAACTCATTAAGATATGAACAACAATGAACCTCCCTTTAACCAAAAAGTAGTTAACATTTTGTCACATCTAATATCCTGACACGAACTCCATGTCGCGTTGTCTCCTCAGAGGAAGCAGGACAGTAAGGCCCAGGCCCCGCGGTTCCCCAAAGTGAAGGACGAGGGCTGGTTCCTGGTTCTGGGGGAGGTGGATCGACGGGAGCTTTTGGCCGTGAAGAGAGTGGGATATGTCAGGAACCACACCGTCGCATCTGTGGCCTTTTACACTCCAGAGACCACAGGGAAGTAAGTGCACAGCTGTAAACTGTACTCGAATAATGTACTTTAACTTAACATTTATATAAATGGTTGCCCACTGCTTCTAACATGTGCCTCTCTTACTTTAACCTTAACTTAACCTGTGCTGTAGGCCTCAGGAGTTATTTTTTCTCTCATGTTTGGTTTCCGGCATTGACAATTTCCTCTTAAAGTTCTCATATAGTTTCACGACAAAGTGTTTTTAGACCTGGTTCCATTCTTCGGGATAAAGGTGTCATGCCAAAGAGTCAAAGTGGCAGCAAATCTGATTCAGAAATGCTGAAACAAGCATTTTTGTTTATCTTTGTTTGTATGTCTAGGGTGACCAGATGTCTCTATTTCTCCAGGACAGTCCCAGTTTTGAGCCCTGTGTCCCTTGTCCCAGTGCATTTATCTAAAACCAGTGATTTGTCCCAGTTTTATACAGGAAATGTCCCTATTTTTGACCAATTTGATCCCTGCCAACATTAAAGAGAGGCATAAATTGTAATTTGTTTAGGTAACATACAAAAAAATCTGCTTAAAATCGACCAAAACCCAAAGAAAATGTGACAATACTGACTCACGTTAGTCATAACAGTTTTCTTTAATTATGTACTCATTTCATTTTAGGTTTATTTGACCATTTATGCAGTTGTACCTTAATATTTACAGTTACATAATTTCACCAGGAGCTTTTGCTAAATAGGGTGTTTTTTGGGCCCTGAGACCAAACGGGGCCGAGTTGGGGTTTGTCTCTATCAACTTGTGATGGCCCAAGATGTAAGATAAGAGGAAATAATGGTGAAAAAAGGGTCGCCAAAAACATCCTGAGGAGTGAACCTGGCTCTATTACCGGCCTATTACCAACCACTAGAACACCAGGGATTTCACTGTTTTATAGTTTTTAAATTCTGGTCAACGTATGTGCACCATAAACTCATCCTAAGTCCTGTTAACTGAAGACTTTTAGGCTGTGCAGTTTAGGCGACACGGTGGCTTAGTGGCTGTAACTCACACTTCACAGCAGGAAGGTTTTAGGTTCAACTCCCAGGTCTTTCTGTGTGGAGTTTGCGCGTGTCTCCTTGTATCTTAACCCAAAACATGTACAATAGGTGAAATCCACCAGCTACAGTAATCCAGACCAGCCTGACCAGAGACGAGTTCAAGATCTGGAGATGGGTCTCACAGGGTTCCCACGGTCATGGAAATCCTGGAAATGTCATGGAAATTGAAAATGTCATTAAATTGTGTAAATTCAATGAAAGTTTTGTAAAAGTCGTGGAATTTTAGTATCTCATTCACGCAATGCCAGCGTTCTGTTAAGTTCTCGTTAGATTATTCTGATTATTTCTGATCGTCTGCGCCTTTTGTTTAAAAGAGACGACAATAAATGCACTGACAGGATTTTGAATGTTAAAAAACTACCGTATTTTCCGCACTATTAGGAGCTCTGGATTATAAGGCGCACTGTCAATAAATGGTCTATTTTTGAAATTTTTTCACAAATAAACCGCACCGGACTTTAAATGAAACACAACAGTGTGATGGGTGAGTGGTTTTGTTTGTTTGTTCGTTCACGGTGACTCTGGGCTTTGTTCAGTTGTGGCGTGTAGGGAGGGTGCTGTCTGGGACCAACGGATTGTCGGCGTGTTCGCAGTGACTCAGTTGTTCAGTCGTGTCTAGAAGTGGCACATTGCACTCGCTTTTTCGGTTCGTTCGTCTGTTCCGTTCCTCGTCGGCGTGGAGTGATGAGTGTGTCTGCGGGTGTTTTTCTCTGTGCGGTCGCTGTCTGCTCCGTGTGTGTTTGCGTGTTCTGCGGGTGGTGCGGCTTTGTAGTTTACTGAAGTCGTGCTGTGACACCCGAGTGGATTCGTGTATAGGGCGCTCTGGATTGTGGGGCGCGTGGTCATTTTTTGATGGGGTTGGAGGCTTAAGAGCGCGTCCAATATCCCGGAAAATACATTATAATCCCAAACCATAAGGTGAGTGGAAAGGGTTAACATTTCATCTTTAGCCCTAAAAGTCTGATCAATTCAACACATGTAGGTGCCGTAAAATCATGAAAATTCACTTTAGGTCATGAAAAAGTTAGAAAGTTTTGAAATTTTGTCAGTAAAAAAAAGTGGGAACCCTGGTCTTAAATGCAGAGGACAAATTTCTTTCTAGGAACAATAGTGTATCTTGGCCTTAAGTAAATAAAACTGCTGCTTTTTGATGTTATATTTTTACAGTTTTAAGAAAAAATTTACTATTATATTACAAATTTTGGTATGTTCTTAAGATTAATTGTAAATTCTGGACAGTTTACAAACCAGATGGACTGTTTTGTTTTTCCACAGATACATCTACACCGTGTACGTGATGAGCGACAGTTACCTGGGCCTGGACCAACAGTACGACCTCCACTTGAACGTGATTCCCCCCAGCATCTCCGCACAGGTCAATACCGAAGTGTCCGACTCCGTCAGCGACCTGTCCGTGAGCTGACCCCGCGACGACTGCGCCAAAACCTGCACCAAAACTGCACCAGAGCACTCACCAAACACCTCATTCTGACATTCGAGCTGTGAGGATTTCTTGTTTACATTGAACCCGCGCTTATAATCTATGTTGGATTATACATAGAGTGGAACTATGCAATCGTATTTGCCTTTTCGCTATCAAACGTCATTCCAGAGTTTTGCAATTCAAACAGAAAAGCACTGCCCGATTATTTTTCGCCATATCTGAGCAACTGTGGGCTATTGTAGCTTTTGTAATGTGCCAAAAATATTAAAACGTCACAGAATACCGATAAGAGTGAAGCAAACTTTCACATTTTGACTACCTTACCTTACAACGAGCACAAAAGTTTAGTCCTCCAGCCAAGGTAATCCTGACCAAAACTAACTAGAAATGGGTCTTTGCTCCAGACAAATGAAGGATGGTTGGAGAAATTTCCAATACTGTGTCCTTAAACCTCAATACCGTATTTTCCGCACTATAGGGCGCACTGCGTCATTGAATGGTCTATTTTCACACTTTTTTCACATATAAACCGCACCGGACTATAAGGCGCATTAAACGAAACACAACAGTTAGATAAGTCAGTCAAATTTATTTAACGCGTTCACAATAACTCTCAACTTTGTTCAATTGTAACGCGTAAAAAAAAATACTATCTGAGAGCGACAAATTGTTAGAATATTCACAATAACTCATAATTGTTCAAACAGTTGGGCGATCATCACTGAACTGCCAGGGAACAGTAACCACACTGACTCGTCATTATCCGTGTCAGTGTGGTTACTGTTCCTTGGCAGTTCAGTGATGATTCGGGTCTTGGTGAAAGCTCGGACCACAGTTACACAGATACTGATCCTTAGCCGGGGCGTCCACGATCTGTTGTCAGATCGTGGCGTAAGTCGCTCGGCGCAGTCTCCCTGTCTCGGTGAATGTGTGTTCTCCTTCTCTCATCCACTGCTCCCATGCAGCTCGCACTTTCACTTTATAACAGTCTTGAGTTTAAAGTGGGCGTTGTGAGCGTGTCTCTTGACAGGTGCATTTTGATTTTAAAAGGAATCACAGTATGTTTTACTCCTGATGCTCCTGACTACAGAGCCGTAATGCTGCAAGTGGTGTGGCTTTGTAGTTTACTAAAGTCGTACTAAAACACAACAATAAATTCACATATAAGATGCTCTGGATTATAAGGCGCGCAGTCGTTCTTTGATGACATTAAAGGCTTTTAAGTGCGCCCTATAGTGTGGAAAATACGGTAATATAACATATTTTACATCTATAGACAATATAATTTATGGACTGTACATTGACTGGAGGCATCTTAGCATTTCAATAAAGCAAAGTGGCAGTATTTGTCCGTGCCAATGTTGCTCATCAGTAGGAAAACGTGAAAAACCGACCGGCTTATCACACTTTAAACTTAATGTAATGAGCTGAATGTTGCATTATTAAACATTGTGTCTGGTTTGGGTGAAGGATTGTGATGTCTACTGCCGCTTTGGCTCTTAGACGAGATCAGTATTTTGTAAAAAGGGGTCTAAAAATACACTTGATAAATAAATAAATAAATGTTGGATTTTAAAGGTGAGCTGTGTAACGTTTCTGTTGGGAGTCATGCCGTTAAACTCTCATAACATCTTTTTCTCTGACGGCATTCCCTGCTTGTCTGTATGGAGATAAATTGAATGCCATAGTGTGGAACATCCCAGGAAAAGCATTAACGTCTCCATGGAAACAAGAAAGTGGTGGATCCAGTAACGTTACATAGTTCACCTTAAGTTGCTTTAAGTTGAAAATTAGGGACGGTAAAAGTGAAAAAATGCATTGCACACAAAGTGTGATGCCGGACTTTTGCATCGCGTGCGGACTGAACCAGGACTGATCCACGTCCGAGACCAGACCGGGACCAGAGCGGGACTGAGACCGGGTGCGGTGCAAAAGTCCGGCATCGCAGTCACGGAAGTCACGTAAACGGGAAACGGCCATTATCCGTTTTTTCCATTCTTCATTTAAACATAAAATCGAAAACTGAAAAAACGAATCGTTATCCGTTTTTTCATTTTGGTTTTGGAGACAAATAGTGAAGAAAACTGCTGTTTTTTAGTTTTCTTATTTTTGGTTTTATATTGAAAAACGAATGAATGAATGATACACGGATTCTTTTCCGTTGTTTTATAGCAGCATCAGCTTATAAACATCGGGAACTACATATCCCATGATTAATTTCAGCGCAGACGACTTAAAGAAATATGTTTTTACTTGAATTTGACAATAATAATTCACTCCAGATTCTTGTCAGGGTGTTTAAAAGCAAAAAAGTGTCCTATCTACAATTGTATCAGCATATCGTGATAATATACCGAGAGATTAGGATATCGTTACGTCCCTATCTAAAATATTTTAACGAAAAGGATATTTTGATCCCTTTTTACAAACACAAACTTGTTTTGTCAAAGAGCCAAACTCAGAGCAGTGCTGATACTTTCTGCATATGTCATACTGGCATGTCTGGACTTTAGATACTTGTGATACAAGTAAGTATGTGATGGAATACGTTTATTTAGTTAAACAGTGATTGAAAAATGGACCGTACCTTTTGACGTGATAAATCCAGAGGCGTTTAAAACCTCTGTAAGTGAAACATAAGCAGAAAACCACATCTGCTGAAGTATGGGGTTTAAAAGAGGCATTGGAATCTTTTAGTTTGAGAAAAGTAATGTTAGGTCTTTGAGAAGAATTTGTGGATAAAACAGATTGTTCAAAGTTGAAATAAATGCATTACTTCAACCTAATTGTGTTCTTTTCTGTGCGGATTCGGGTGGGATCAGCTGGGGGCTCTTGATGTGCAAGTTATTTACTCTTTCATAGTTTGCTCCGGTTTCCCTTGGCAACATAAACATGCAGAGGAGTCGGACGATGAACCTGGCTCAGATTTGGAGACGGGTCCCAGGTGCCGCGCCGTGATCGCTCGCCGCAGACGGACCGCAGAGTCTGTCCCCGAACCAGGACTAAATCTGACCCATTTAACCACAACTAAACTATTCAAGTATTTCAAATGTAAAATCTCCCTAAAAAGACAGACTTGTTGTTTGTGAGAAACTTTAGATCAGACATAGACTGTATAAAAGAGCGTTCAGCGCCGCTCAAATGAGGCCCGCAATGCTCACAGTTACAGGAGCGAATCTGAAGACAGGCTCTATGTTATGAATAGGATTTTTTTGATGGATAAAATAGCAAAAAAAAAAAAATCTGGATCATGTAGAGCGAGATAATATGAACATTTTAAAACCAAAATGACGAGACTCACTGCAGCAGTTAGAGAGAGAAGCGCCAGAAGATCCTAATGTAAGTCAATTGGTGCCAGAGTCAGAGGGAGTCGGAAGAGACTCCTGGAGAACTTCCTAGTTGGCACACGGCTTCTACAGCGTTAGCTACGTCCACTCGTATATACAGTCTATGGATCAGTCTTAAAGGTTGTATGGAGTTTCAAATTGTCAATGATAGCATTATAGAGGTGCAGTAGCCTTGTAATTATGATGACCAAAAAAAGAGAATAAAAATTCATCAACTCTGGACGTGGTGGGGCTAAACATTTGCCAATAGATAACGACACTGCCTCGTTATCTGTGAGCTGACAGGCTGTCAATCAAACTCCCTACGTTTCTAGCGTAACTGACTTGCCTGCGCGCTGCCGGTACGTGGTTTACGTACGACTGTCACGCAGTCCACAGACGCAAGACGCACAGACGCTGTTTACTTCACCAAAGCAATGGTTCTTAGCGGCTTTTTTTGACCTATATCTTCCTCGCAGTTCGCACAAAGTTTGCTGCAATGGCGACAAGGATCCAGGAGCAGTTTGCCGCAAAAGAAAGTCCGTTTTTGAGGTCGCTCAAAGAAGAAGACAAGGGGAAAAGCAGCGAAGCCAAACTAAGGTGATTCTTGAAGATTCATTCCAGCGATGGCGCAACTGAAGCAGACGCAGGGTCTAAAGACTGAAGCACTGGTCCACAAATTACTCCTGGACAGGAAACTTCTGCTTATTATGAAAACGTACTTTATTTCCAAGAGCTAGACAAACGTTTTTCAGGACACGAATGCGATATCCTATGTCTGAAAACGTAATTTTCAAGGCAAAGAAAGAGTCCGCTTGCTGCTGCGTGTTGTAGCTAGTTCATTCGCACTGAATCTCCGCGCACTCTTCTCTGCTCCCCTTTCCTGCTCCTGTCCCGCTCTTCCCCCTGCTCCTCACTTCTTTTCCGCGCACGAAATGTCCGCACACCCCGCTCCCCCCGCTCCTCACTTCTCCGTCTTGCCTAACCAACACTGTAGTTAGTTGTTTACAAGTCATGTGCAGCACCGGCTGTAAACAAACCTGTTTGTGGCGTAAAGAGGAGGCGGGAGGAGGTGTTTCTACGTAGGAGCTGTAGGGGAGGGGGGGTGGTTTCACACATGCGCAACATTTGAAAAAGGACAAACAGTCGCTGGATTTCTCGTTCCTTGGAAAATCCTCTATACAACCTTTAATGTCACTGATGAGGAGCCTCTCCCTGGTTATCTCTATGGAAATGCTATCACTTTATCATGTTTAATATATCTCTTCTGTATTTCATGTACCTTTCATTTAAATACACTTTTTCACTGGTCAGAAATAGTCTTACTGTGAGAGGAGATCACGTCTCTACAAATCTGACCTGTAACTTGGTTTGATCACATTTTTATACAGCGCTTTTCACCTTCAAGTCCCTCAAAGCGCTTTACAACAAGGAAACACTCACCCATTCACCCATTCACACACCAGTGTACGCAGATACTGGGGGTGAGGTGGGTTAAGTGTCTTGCTATGTGTATGGAGGGTTTGCTTGTTAAGGATAATTTAAGGGTCCTGTTGGTGCATCACTCGTGGTCATACTGGTCTCATATTTACTTTGTTTTATGGTGTTTGTTTATGTGCTGCTTTGTGTGGTGTTGTCCTGTTTTTTGATAAAACATGTTACCCCCCTGTCCCAAGACAAATTTCTCCCATGGGAGACAATAAAGGATTATCTTATCTTATCTTATGTGCGTATGATAGTGGTGTGTGCGTGAGTGATGGTGCTGGATGGAGGGACCGATGGCACCGATTGGCATGGCAGGCGTGCTTCTGTCAGTGTGCCCCAGGGCAGCTGTAGCTACAATAGTAGTTTACCACCACTGGGTATGGAGAAAAAGAATAGTTTAGTTTAGTTTAGTTTACTTATTTAGTGTCATGCACCATTTAGTTGGTGCCCACATGGACTTATAAGACACATAAAACAATAAGCAGACACATCACACATCAAACATAAAGTGTCCTCCCAGACTTTCAACACAAACTGAGCCAACTTAAAAACATTACATTTAAACAAATACTTAAGTCTCTCCTCATCAGACAGAACAAACCAACAGAAAGACACATTAGACAACAACTGACAGCGAAGGTCATGATACAAAGGACAGTAAAACAAAAAATGCATTTCATTTTCAATGTCCTTTAAATCGCACAGAGCACAAGTGCGCTCCTCCTCTGGGACTGAGTGGAAGCGTCCCGTCTCCAAGGCCAGAGTCAGAGTCCCACACCTCAACTGGGCACATACTGACCTCTGACCTCTGCTCAGGTTCAGGGTGACATATGGTTCAGGTCCAAAACAGTCTGTAATTAAGATGTATGTTCTTAATTTTGGTTTACATAAGATGTCATAGTGACACTTTTGTTTATACTTATCAAAGTAAATGTTCCTCTCTTGTCGAACACTACAGATTAACTTATTTCTGTAAATAAACTGGAGATCTGCAATCTCAAAAATTTAAGAATAATGAATCTATGAAAAATGCTCTGTAAAGTGTCTTTGTGACATATGTCTGTGAAAAGCGCTATATAAATGAAAGACTTACTAACTCAAGGAAACAAGGACAACATTCGTCTGTGGGAGCTGGAATCGCTTCAGCCAACCTGTGGGTCTGTGGATTTCATTGCTCAATAAATTATGTTCATGTCTTGACTTGAACCGTCAACATTCGGATCAGTGGAAAAACAGAGCTACTGTCACCCTGGAATATTTCTGCAAAGCATCTCCATGGAGACGAGCACATAATAATTCACGCTCACGGGCTTTTCCAGACCAGGTCCAGCTCCTGTAGAAGTTCCCAAAGTTCCTAAACCTGGTCTAAACCTGGACTAGAATGGACTGTTGTGGTGTCCTTAGGCAAGACACCTTCGTTGCCTGGTATGAGTGAGCGGTGGTCAGAGTTTGGCTCGTGTCGGTCAGTCGAACCCCTGACAGACGTGGATCCAACAGGAGCTGAGCAGAACCAAGTGTGGAGAGAATGAATAACGGATCAAAATGTAAAGTAGTAGTAGTAGTAGTAGTTAGGGGTGTCAAATTATCGCGTTAATTGCGATTAATTAATTACAGTCATATTTAGCGCGTTATGTTTTTAATCGCGTTAATCTCATTTTTAATCTCTAACTTTACTGTTTCTGTATGTGAGTTTCTTTATTATAAAAACTGTTTTTATGTGTTGTTGGGACAACAACACACACACACACACACACACAAAAACATTTATACATTTTTTTATTTCGGTAATTCCACTCATTGCCGGAAACCCACACAAAACGCGCGCAGTAACAGCGTAAGTAAACGTCATGTTAACGTTGGCGGCGTCAGTCGCACAATGGACGAGGTGGAAGAGCCAGTAGAACAGAGCAGCAGTGCACAGGTAAAAACACATTCGTGTCTTGGAAATTCTTCTCCCGACGTGAAATATAAAAGAAAATAACAAATATAAAATCGCCTGAAAACAACCTGCATAGACTCATGATGTCTGCACTACTGTCCTATAGTGACCTGCCACATGAGGGGACACGCACACACACACACACACACAAACACAAACACACACACTTCATCATCGTCATTAACCTGAGAACGCGCGGACCACGTTTCCTTCCGTAGTTACTGCGTGGACACCGACGTCTCGTGCGCCGCATGTGGAACGTGTTTTCTCGCGTAAACCGCACTTCCTCCTGTGCGCCTCTAAACCAAAACTAACACCAAGACTAAAACCAAGACTAAAACCAGGACTAAACCAGGACTAAAACCAGAACTAAAACCAGGTCTAAACCAGAACTAAAACCAGGTCTAAACCAGGTCTAAACCAGAACTAAAACCAGAACTAAAACCAGGTCTAAACCAGAACTAAAACCAGGTCTAAACCAGGTCTAAACCAGGACTAAAACCAGGTCTAAACCAGGACTAAACCAGGACTAAACCAGGACTAAACCAGGACTAAAACCAGGACTAAACCAGGTCTAAACCAGGTCTAAACCAGGTCTAAACCAGGACTAAACCAGGACTAAACCAGGACTAAACCAGGTCTAAACCAGGACTAAACCAGGACTAAACCAGGACTAACACCAGGACTAAACCAGGTCTAAACCAGGACTAAACCAGAACTAACACCAGGACTAAAACCAGGATTAATCCATTCCAGGACTAAACTAGGACTAAAGTAGGTCTAAACCAGGTCTAAACCAGGACTAAAACCAGTGATCTCATATATAAAGCATTTCTCTATCAATAATATTTTTAATATGGTTAAGGAAAGACTGGACTTTTTATTGTCTTTAAGTCGACAAAAGTTATTATGTTCAGATTTCCTCGTCTTTGCTACTTTACAGCAAACAGTTTCTTATTCATGGAGACTTGGGCTCAACAGCCAAATTGGAGAGATTTGTTAAACAATAAATGACTTTATAAAGTCACTTTTTTTAAATCTATATCAGTCTTTTGATCTGCCACAATAATGTAATAATGAATTTAAATGAAAATACCTCAAATTGAAGACTTTTCTCAGCAATTTTTAGGTGAGATTAAAATGAGATTAATTAGATTAATTAATTACAGATCATAATTAATTAATCTCTCAATTTTTTTAATCGCATGACAGCACTAGTAGTAGTAGTAGTAGTAGTAGTAGTAGTAGTAGTAGTAGTAGTAGTAGTAGCAATAGTATGACCATGTTCTGCCACAGCCATACCTACAGCCCAACACAGTGACAGGTTTAATGTCTTGCCCAAGGACACCACAACAACACAGAGCAAGATTTAGTAGTAAATAGTAGAAGGAGTCGTAGGGGGAGGAGCAGTATTAGTAGTAAGAGGAGTAGTAGTAGTAGTAGAAGTAGGAGGAGTAGAAATAGTAATAGAAGGAGTAGCAGAAGTAGTAGGAGGAGGAGGCGGAGGAAGAGGGGGGAGTACTAGTAGTAGAAGGAAGAGAAGTAGCAGAAGTAGTAGTAGTAGGAGGAGGAGAAGTAGTAGTACTAGTAGTAGTAGTAGTAGTAGTAGTAGTAGTAGTAGTAGTAGTAGTAGTACTAGTAGTAGTAGTAGTACCATCATGTTCTGCCACAGCCATACCTACAGCCCAACACAGTGACAGGTTTAATGTCTTGCCCAAGGACACCACAACAACAGAGAGCAAGATTTAGTAGTAAATAGTAGCAGTAGGAGGATTAGGAGGAGTAACAGAAGTAGAAGTAGTAGTAGGAGGAGAATTACTAATAGTGAAAGGATGAGAAGTAGTAGTAGTCATAGGAGTAGTAGGAGCAGCAGCAGCAGCAGCAGTAGTAGTAGTAGTAGTAGTAGTAGTCGTAAAAGTAGTAGCAGGAGGAGGAGAAGCAATAGGAGTAGAAGTAGAAGTTGTAGGAGGAGGAGGAGTACTTATAGTAAAAGGAGGAATAGTAGTAGTAGTTGTGGTAGTAGTAGTAGTTGTTGTAGTAGGAGTAGAAGGAGGAGGAGTAGAAGTAGAAGGAGTAGTGTTGCCTGGTTCAGAGTAGAAGGAGTAGCAGAAGTAGTAGTAATAGTAGGAGGAGTTGTAGAAGTAGTAGTAATAGTAGTAGTAGTAGTAGTAGAAGTAATAAGAGGAGGAGAAGAAGCAGCAATAGTAGGAAGAGTAGAAGTAGTAGTAGGAGGAGAAGTAGCAGAAGTAGTAGCAGCAGGAGGAGTAGAAGTAGTAGTGGTAGGAGTACTAGTAGTAGTAAGAGTAGTAGCAGTAGCAGTAGCAGTAGTAGCAGCCAACATGTGGAATTAAAAAGCTCCACAAAAGTGAACACAATTTATATTCAAGTTATATTAGGTGAATTAAAAAATGTGACCTACAATACAACATAATACTACAATTTAAACAGCCAGTGCCCAAGTAGAAGTAGTAGTAATAGTAGTAGTAGTAGCAATAACACATGTTTTAAAAATCCTTGTACATGACTGATGACATTTTTAAAGAGCTCAATAATCAGTGAACATGAGCGCGGCGCGTATTTCTCCCTTTTCCAGCTCTGGACGTGTGGAGCGAGCGCGAGCGTGGCCCCGTCATGAATAAACCATCAACCTGTCTGTTCCCCGGACCAATGAGAGCCGAGCGGGGGCTTTCCGGACCAGCCAATCAGCGGCCGGATCTCGCGGAGGGGGGGCGGGCCCTGGAGTCTGCGGCTGTGGATGTGCTGGTATCCATCCAAACGCGAGGAGAGGAGCGATGCGCCGCTGCTCTTTGGGGGATTTCTCACTGGATACCGACGAGACCAACAGGTTTTAGCGCAGCAAATGTGGAAGAAATTGTTCCTCAGACGTAGCAGAGACTGTCACGTAAAAATTTAGCCAGAAAATTGTAATAAAAATAGTGGTAACATTGTTTTAGATACACATTTTTTGACATTTTTCATATTTTACGGCCTGGTTCATGCACCGATTTTTTTTTTTCCATCATGCATCTTTACGCAGACTAACCTTTCAAACGGAATGACTTGCACACTTTGGGAGTATGTCCGCGTTTTGTAGATTTCTGGAGTAGCGTGACCATGATTCTCGGACACATTTAGCCCGCTGGAAATGCTATGAGACGAGCGACCGGGACAGAGGAGGCAAATACTCGCGATCATGAAGGAAAAGTCGAAAAACGCGGCGAGGACCCGGAGGGAGAAAGAAAACAGTGAATTTTACGAACTGGCCAAGCTGTTGCCGCTGCCCTCCGCCATCACCTCCCAGCTGGACAAGGCTTCCATCATCCGCCTGACCACGAGCTACCTGAAGATGAGGATCGTTTTTCCAGAAGGTACGGCGCACTCCATTTCCATTTATCCTTCCGTTTCCACCCTGTATCCAGCGCGTAATCCATCGCTTTTTGGACCCGTTGCCATAGCGATTAACATTTATTTTTTATTCAGGTTAACATCATTTTTTAAAAGACATCCTAAGTTGTTATTTTTTACGATTTGCTGCTGTGTTTTTTTTTATATTTTTAGCAATAATGAATAAATAATAATAATAAGGCATACACGGCGCGTTTTCTCATCGTTCCAGCTCCATATTGGCCTATTTATTTATTTTTATTCTTTGAGTCTCATCCTGCTCTGTTTGGGTTTCAGAATAATGATTTTTAGAAGCGTTGGCATAACAATAAACAATTAAAATAAAATATCTCATGGATGTTTCTGAAAATGTCAGGCTATAAACAGAAAAAGCTCGAGTCCAAGAATATTTTTACGAAGGCAAAAACGAGGGCAACTCTCTTTTCTGTCCAGGTTTTAATCTGAACCACAGGCCTGTCTCTCTCTTTGGCTTAAAGTTGATATATATTTGTAATTCGTAATCGATTATTTAGGATTAATTCGGTTTATAAGGTCAAAAAGGTTTATAATATAAGAAAAAATACTGAGGACTTTAACGTAACATGATCGTGTAAATCCGTTTATTATGAATTTAAAAACGCATTTTAAACAAACAAAATGTGTGTCTGTTTTTCTTAAATCATTATTTTAACATCAGATGTAAATCATAACACAGATTTTTAGCAATAATACTTAAAAAAATGTGGGAAAAAATACGTCTAATAGTTTGTAAATTGTCAGTGACGCGTCTTGGTCCGTGCGTAAAATGCGCACAGCTGCGGTCAAGGCGCGTGTACAAATAATTCAATACATTATTTTTGCAAAGTAATTGATTAGTCGATTATCAATATTAATAATGAATATATGTTTGGCTTTGTTGTGCTTTATTACACCTATGTGTGGATGTCATAGGCCTGGAATGAAATGGATTAAATAACAAAACCAAACCAAACCAAACAAAACCAAACAGTCCTTGCTGAATTATGGAGGAAATCTGAATGATTACAAGTTTAATTAATTTGTCCAGGTTTTACTGTGATACACATGACTAAAAATAATAAGAAAATGTAATTAAACGGAACGATCTATAGGCTTTATGCTCCAGATACGCGCGTCCTCTCCGGGTTTTACTTCATCAAACCCCGTGCGTTAAAATCCTCTTCTGTAATCACTCCGAAACGATCCGCGCTGTTACTGTAATTAGTCTGTGCGTGATGGACACGTGTAAAGCTCGTGTAACGCCTCTAAAATAACACGAACGCGTCTCGTGGGACCACAACTGCTTTGCATAACATTTACAACTCTTCACATGCAGCACAGACAGGCCTGGATTTGCTCTACTCTGGTGTTAACCTGATCCAAATGTCGCCTGTTTCTATTTTACGCTTGGCAATTGCGTTATTAAAAGTAAACATTATTAGAATAAGTTGGTTGTTTAGCTTTTGGCAATGTTATTTTCTTTTATTTTTTAATTAAAGGTGCAGGAAAGCGTTGTACATTTAGATTCCAGCTGTAGCGTCTAAACAAAAATTCGTAAATCAGCGTAAATAAGTTTTTTTTTAAAGCATCTGCAGCAAAAATCGTGACGCCCACTGCAAGAAAAGCCACATCTGCGCGTAGCTGGATAACACGGGCTTACACATCTAGAATATATTTATTGTCCGGTGCGCCTCCAGTGCGTCCGTCCCGTGCGTAAAGGCCGTACGTGCTCGCTGTTTATCCCTCCTGAGAAATGTCATAGCCGTGACCTCCAGCCTCCAGCCCCCTCCTCCTCCTCCTCTGCGCCTCCGTGTGCCCGCCGCGCAGGCCCTTCTCCTGGGGGGCCCCCGGAGGATCGCAGCCTGTAGCAGATTAGCCTCACGGAGCTCCGGGGCTGCGTGACCACTGCAGAGCCTGGCACATTAGTATGACGCGCACGTATGATCGCTCCAAACATATGGAGGAAGGGAAGGGGAAAAAACGCAGAGGGAAGACGCGAAAATGCCAGAAATATACACATTTTTAAACCTTAAAGACGCACAGAGAAATCATGATCACGTTTCACAGCGCGTTTCTGTTGACAGTTTGTTTTCATGTGGTAAAAATGCACAAAAATATCGCTGAAAAACTGAGAAACATTTTTCCATTTCTAATTTACCAACACTTCTCCAAATGCGTAAAATTGAAACACTATAAACGCTAAAATTACTGGATTAGTGACCAGATTTTCAAAATTAAAGACTAAAATAAACCTGGGTGATCAGATTTTCAAAATAAAAAACTGGGACACTCGGTTTGTGGTGTTTTTTAAATAACAAAATTGTGACTCGAGTGCGTAATTATCAAAAAAACTGTTCTGCACTCGGTCCATTCATGACAAACACGAGTCAGTGCAGTCATATTTTTTTGAGTTTTTGTTATTTTTAAGCAGCTTTTTTGTATTTTATCCAAACAAATTACAATGTATGTCTCAATTTACTGTCAACAGGGATCAAATTGGTCAAAAATAAAGACATTTCTTGTATAAAACTGGGACAAATCTGTGGTTTTGGATAAATCTGCTGGGACAGGAGACACAGGACTCAAAACTAAACTGGGACGTCTGGTCACCCTGGACGTGATTCCATAAAGAACATTTCTGGAGAAGGCTTTAGTATCACTTCCATAAAGCCATAAACCTAAACTACACTGAAACGATTTTGAATTAGCTCAAAATACTCCACATAACAAAAAGATTCAAAAAGCTACAGTGTTAATTTTCACTGTATAATAAATAATTTTGTAGATATAGTGAAAAGAATAAACAGAAATCGAACAGAGCAGCTCTAGGCCCTAATATCTTTTCACTTGTGTCTATAAATAATCCACATAACGTTCCACTTTAAATCTGTATCAACATTCTGTCCAACAAAGTATTCAACAAAGTACAAGTGACGTAAAACATTTTTGGAACGTTTTATTTTCATTTTCAACTTTCCCTGAGACAAGAGTATTAAAATATGACCTTTACAAATGCAATATACATGTTCCAGTACTTATGCAGTTTATTTATTATCATGTACATCCTTGTGAGCACTTGAAAAGTTTTTTTTTTTTTTTTTACTGGACTGAAACGTTTTTTAAATAAAAGTAAATTTCATATGATTTGGGAGTTATTTTGATCATGTTTGGGGTAAAATCGTGACTAAAGGTTTTGAGTTTAAGCTTCGGTTTTGAGCAAATAAAAATAAAAACACAAAATTTATCAGAAAAGTTAAAAAGCTGATTTGTACTGCAACTTTTGACCAAAATCTGTGTCATTTTTCACTACGTTTAACACATTTCCCTACATTTAACACTTTATAAAAATAAATAAATAAATAAAGTACTTTTCCCTTTTACTCTAAACGTACATTTTTAAGCAAGTACTGTAATACTTTTACCTAAAGATGCACTATGTAACTTTTCTGGTAGAGGATCTGAAACCTGCTTGAGTCCATATAAATGCAGTTTTTTTCCTGGAATGTTCCACAGTATAGCATTTAATTTAACTATTTCCATGGAGACAGGCCAAGTTACAGGTCAGATCTGTGGAGAAATAGTTCCGCTCTTACTGTTAATTTAATTTTTGTTGTACGTTTGAGAAATAAAAACAACCAAAATTGAATAAAAACGTGATCAATTTGTTTAATACTTCAATAATCATGCAGAACAATCACGTCACCATGGAAACGAGCAGATGGAAAAGCGACACAGTGCAACTTTAACTAGATTTTTTTTCATGTGATACTTTTACTCGAGTAACTTTTTGTCCATAAAAGAGTTCTGCATTTTTTTTTTTTAAAGATCTTAAACACAAAACATTCACCACCAACTCGTGACGTCATCGGGTGGTGCTCCGGCTTTGCTCCTTTGTGTTTTTAAAGTCCATTCTGAGACGCCTTCTGATTCAAACTTCAGTACAGTTGAGTTTTTGCGCCCCCTGCTGGGAATTTGATGTGAAAATGTGTATATTTTTTATGTAAATTTAAGTTTTAGAACGTGAATTACCAAAACCGAGGGGTCAAAGCTGTTTTAAAATCTTAAATAAAGCGTTTTAATAATTGATCTTCAGACCTTTGACAATTCAAAACATAGAATATTTCGTTTTTTGTCAATTACGACGGCAGCAGCTTTAATTTGCCGTCACTCCAAAAGCCACGGATGCTATTTTTAAACTTCTCCGACGGTGAAATTACTACGGAGAAAATGCTTTAACACCGCAGAACTGTTACCTCAGCTCAGAAACATTTACGATGAAGTAAACAGGAAAAAATGTGTACGTTCCCGAGTCCCGAGAGTATCAGAAGTCAGAGTTTCGACGCTCATGATCCCAGCTCTGATATGACACCAGTGAGTGAGTCGCCTCCACACGAGTCCAGACCTCCGCTTTCGGGCCGCGAGTCCAAATCCGCAAAGAGTGAAAGGTTTGTCCAGTTACTTCAGATTTGGAAAGGCGAAAATTTTCCAGCATTTTTCCATCCGTTTCAATTTTAGTGTCTTAAAAATCATGAAAAACAAAACTAGTTCATCAAAAAGTTCCTCCTCAATCACCTTAAACATTGTAATTATTCCGTTTATAAGAGCTTTTAGACTCCAGAGCAGAGTTAGGACTAAATCTAGCATGCTAACGTGCACTTCCTGATTATCGGACAATAAAATACTTTCAAACTGAGCACACACGGTGGACTTGGTTTGACCTTAACAGCTGCTTGTATAATACGTCTGCACTGGGACAAAGTCTCTGCTCTCATGGGAAGAAATCATGTACAGGGCCTAAAGCAGCCACACTGTCCGGATTATGACTTTATCTCCAGCAGATGGCGCTAGTACTCGAAGTATTGGTGTATACTGAGCAATAAGGACGCACAATACAGATACTGGTATTGAATATCGGTGCCGATCCAAGAAAATGTGCAGTATCGGGTATTGGTTCCAAGTCGAAATC